CAAGACAGAAGATTCCCAATTCCAGTCCAAATATTGTATAATTACGTGTGCTAATTTCAGTTTTCTCCAGAAGACTCCACAGAAGTTGATAATGATGCCTTCACATCAAGACAACCTTATGTCAAGTCTTCATCAACTTTATGTCTTAGTCAAGTCATAATAAGTTTTTGTACTTTAGTATGAGTCATAGTGCTTAGTCACTGTACCTTAAGTGATGAGTCACTATATCATAATAATGAACCTTTGAACCATAGTTATGAGTCATTGTACCTTAGTTATAACTCACCGTCCTTTAGTCTTATCATAAGCCACTTGTAAAGTTACTTTGTCCTAGTCTTGTCTTATTAGGCTACTAGTCATTTACTTTTTCATGTATAAATAGCATGATACTTCTCTAGGAAGTAATCATCAAGCAAGAATCGAAAAACCTATCCCTTGTAACAAAACCTTTCTTTATAAAATATGTTTGGCTAAAAAACCTCTCTTCTCTTTTGGTGATTCCATCTTCCTTTTTCCATAGTTACATCTTTTAGCTTCATCCTTCTCTTCAATCTATTCAAAGTTTGCAGTGATACAAGTTGAGTATGCTCTGCAGTTGCCATATTATTATGGATCCTCTGCAACAGAAACTCTTGTTAATCTGTTAAACAGATCATTGATCCCTTTTCCTCAGCTAAAGAAAAGTCATACCGCCTCAAGATCATACTAATAGTAAGTTACTATAGTGAAAGACATATCTCCATAAAAGTCAGGCCCTCAGTTCGACGTTAAGCCAGGAAGGCGCCAGAGTCTTGAACACCGGCTAGAATACCTTGGTTATATGTCTGATCTATGGAAAGCTTATCGTTGGTATTATCTTGTCAAGTTTGATTGATCTACACGCTGTTGTCATAGTACCAAATAGTATTGTCAGGACTCTACCACCCGGAGAGCCCGGAACTGAAGCCGTGTCAGTTGCCAGAGCCTTGGCCGTACTACCTGCCGCTGTGTATAAATGGTATCAGAGCATTAAATAGTATGACACTAAGCCAAAGTTAAAATGTCGCAATTAAATAGTATGAGACTAAGCCAAAGTTAAAATGTCGCAATGAAACCTGCAAATGTGAGTGTAGTCAATAGAAACACTTACCTGACATGCTTTATTTTTAGCTCTAGTTTCTGCCGTACTAAGAATATCATGGTTTGGTTTCCAGGGATATCATGGTTTGGTTTTAGAAATCTCTTCTCCCCATCCATCCGAGAACCTCCCACCACTAATAATGAATAAAAGAAAAAAAATGCAAAAACAGTAACCACTCACCATTAAATAAGTACTGTAATTTTCAATTCATCAAACGGGAAATTCGAAGGAATCAAAGCCGCTTTGGATAGATAGCTGTATTGATTATTAATATACGAATGAGTCTGAAAATAAAAAAAAAAGCTTAAACTTTACAAAATTAAAAATAATAATAATAAAAATAAAAACCACTCTTGCAGTTTAATTCACTGCAGGCAGCTGAATTCCCTGTCATGAAATTCTATACCACTTCCGGTTGTTTAATTCATATTCTAAAGACAAAAGCTTTATTGGGGTGAAAGGAAGAAAAAGGAACCAACAAAAAAATTGTTTCTGGATGCTTCCATCTAAGATATACGTCTTAGAGGCGGCCAATTCTACGTGGTAACCCGAAATTTTGATAAACCCTGATTTCACCACCCAATGTGGCTGTCACGATTACTAGGCCCCAAGCTGTTGCTTGTGTAGGATGGTGTCCATGACCACCAACATCGAACCAAGACCAAGATGTAGACCAAGGAGATGGTTGTGTAGCAGAGGATATTGAAGGCGAATCACCGTATCTTATTGAGGCAGAACTTGGGTTGGAAGCAGAAGAGATAGAAGGCGAATCCCCAGCTCTTATTGAGGAACAAGAGTTTAGGTTGCTAGCAGCGGAAATGGAAGGTGAATCACCTTGCCTTATTGAGGAAGACCTCGAGATGGATAATGACTCGCCAATCCCAGTATCAGCACTAGAGATTTGAGCAAAATCTTCTTCTGGAGGGGTTATAGTGCTCTCTATATTGTTGTTGTTGTTCTTCTTGGGAAGTGGTGGCAAGCCCTTCTTGTTGTTGTTTGGTGGAGGGCTGTCTTCTTTGGTTGGTGATTCACATGCAGTAGTAGTTTGCTGTGGTTGGGATCGTTTCGAGTGCCTTCTTGACTGTGCTATTGCCATTGAAGGAGGTTCACCTTTTATAGTACCAGGCCAAGCGATTGCGACAGAAACATCTTTACACGGGAAGTGTTCGTGGCCTCGAGCAGTCATCACAGTTCTTTTCCCTGTGCCTGTGTTTCGAGACTCCTCACGCCTCCAAACAAATACCTGAGAGTCTTCACTTGCACTTATGACATATTTTCCATCTGAAGTAAATGAAGCTGAAATTTGACTATTGGTATTTCGAAGGCCTGATAACAAGAACATGGGCATTATTATTGGAAGTTTAAAACAAGAATGAAAAGAGATAAGAAAATAAGTCTCCAGTGTTTGTTGAGACGGGTACCATTAAATTTATAAACGACTTCTGAGCCATCCAAAATTCGTATTCGAGAATCAGCAGAAGTAACGAGTACTTCAGATGGATAAATTGGACAAAACTGTTCAGAAGTAAATTTATTTAAAACATTCCATTCATGTTACAAGTAATATAACTCAAAAAAACAATGTGGAATAGCAGAGTATATATTTAGGAACTTGAATATCAATTGCTAAGGTTACCTGGAAACCAGTAATCTTTTTAGCATTAACCTTCTTGTTTTGAATGGCAATTTGTTCTAACTGAGTTAATTTGCAATCTAGATCAACAATGGAAACGAGAATATATAATGATTTCACGGTGAGATAGTAAATTTGAACGGAAAACTATATACAAATTTGAATCAAAAGAGCAAACCATACCCTCAGTACTGTACATTCGACAACTGCCCTTATGTGAACCAATTATGGCACCCTTCAATAATGAAAACATATGTACAATTTAGAAAGGGGATGGAATTATCTTTGATGTATTTGAAAAAATTTTGTGAAAAAAGTTAATAAGGTAAAAGCAAATATATGAGCTTTTGCTCAATTGATGCAATTTCAATGTGACTCCATTTATGTTCAAGGAAATGAGAACGATAGAACGTGGACAAGGCTATGGCATATGTTTGGTTAGCATTTCAAATCTTATTGAGTAACAAAAACACCTCTAAAGAATCATATCCATGGTGAAGTTGACTAATAACTACAGAGTCCATAATTATCAGACCATATTTAAGAGAAAAAGCCAAGTAAAATCATGAATGCTGTACCATGATGAACATTATCAAGCAATCATTAGGGAGCAAAAGTTACTTAGCAGGACCTGGCCATCAGGGGTGTAGCAAGCAGCGGTAACCATTTCATGGAGATCAGTCCAATCAACAACTTGCCTATTTGGTATGTTCCAAATTCTAACTTTTGCATCAAGTGACCCACTTATAAAATAATCTTCATCCATAGGATTGAAATGTATGCAGGTTACTGCCAAAGAAAGCACAAACCAAAAACCATAAATAGGTTTCTAGTTTGATAAACTCAACATGAACTTTAGTTGAAGTTGAAATTGAATGGTATATTACCATAATCATTGTGGGCAAATAACTTTAAACAGCTCTTCGTTTCCAGGTCCCATAACCTTACAGTTTTGTCCATTGACGATGAAAGCAATTGCTACAAATCCATCAAAGTCATTCTACGGGTTATATAGATTAAATTTGTGGATAATAGGTGACAAACATAAATGACATGGGGCAATTGTTTGATTGGAAAAATAAAAATTACTCATCGATTTTATCTTGATCTACTATATTTGCTAATTAAATTCCTTACTTTCGTAATATTAATGGCAAGAATTCTGAGAATCAAACCTGAGATCTAGACCAGGACAAGTCCAAAATATCATCCGAATGGCCCTTGAAAGAACAGATTGGTCTGTCTGATAGCGAAAACACAGTTTCTGGCACATGGACATAATCAGGAATTTGATTGCTTTTTTTATTAGATGAGCCCTTTCCCTTCTTCTTCTTCTCATGTGGATTACCTGCAGCTTCCATAAGTCCTGATTGATCTTGGGACAAGGAGAGCGAGGGATGAACTGGTGAGCCAGTAAGCGATGGATGAAGTGGTGAACCAGCAAGCGATGGATGAAGTGGTGAACCGGCAAGCGATGGATGAAGTGGTGAACCTGCAAGCGATGGATGAAGTGGGGTTGAATTCCCTTCATTCATCGACATAATCTCACATTCCTGAACTTCCCACACATGAATTATCTTATCCTCACCAGCACTCGCTAAAAACCTTGTATCTGTACTAAACCTGATGGTCCAAATGGATCCCTCATGAGCCTGAATTTCTTGACATAAATGTAAAGCACTCAACTCCTTATAAGATTTCCCAGTTTGTCTAACTTTCACCCACTGATTATTTCCATTCTTGACATTCTTTTGATCCATTGCTAACAAATTATCCCTTTCTTTCTCCCCCCTCAAGTTCATAGAATTGGCCACCCCTTTTATACTTTTCAACATGGCTGCTCCTCTTCTCTTGCTCACCCTCAAACTCTTGGAAAGATACGAATTGAACTTTCGATCATTGGCAGGACTTCCTCGGCGCATTAACTCCTTTACCACTGGTGAATGCCCAACACATTTCTCAAATTCATCCATTGTAAATTGCTTCCCCGTTTGAAGATCACTCACCTTGTTCCACATCCCATCTTGATCATACTCGTTAACTACAAACTCTTTCCCTGTATCCAAATTCTTAATCAAGAAGAAAGCTCCGAACCTACTTTTTGAAAAAATTGAGGTTAAACCACCGCTTTGCTTAATTATACGACTATTTCCTGAATCTTTAGGGGAAGCTCTGATGCTTTCATGGTACGGATATAATTTTGCATGTGGGGTTGATATTAAAGAAGATGTTCTTGTAAGGCGTTGCTTCGATATGGAACCAAGAAGCTCTTCTTTTCTTTTCTTTTCAATCGAAAGAGACTCGATCTCACCATCGGACCTGGACCGTGGGAACAGGATGGGAAGCGGAGAGTGAGACAAATCCTGTTTCGAAGAATCTTCGTTGTTTTGATGATGGTCTGCTTTGGAAACAGTTGTAGCGGCTGCGGGAACTTCGGTTGTTGTCTGGACCTGAACGTTAGGGAACTTGTTGGAAACGCCTCGTTTGAAACTGAGAAGTTCTTTGTCAGGAGATAATCCCATGCCTTGGAAAAGCCGCTGTCTCCGCTCCCTAATGGACCCTGGAGACGCCATCCAGATATCATAGTTAGGAGTCATTGGGGTAGCCGTCGTCGCAAAAGCTCGGAACTGAGTAGGAACGGATGACACCGTGGAAGCGAAAGAAATGCGGCAGTCATCGAAATCTTCATCGTCATCATCAGACCCCGAGGAAGCCAAGTCGACTGGCACGAAAGACGATATTCTATTGTTCGATTCAAAGAACTCGTCGTCATCATCGCATAGGCCATCCCAATTCATGGCCATAGTTTTTCTTCGCTCCATTTTCCGAGCTTCCATTTTGGCACGTTTGAGAAACAAAACAAAAAACAAAAGCCTTGAGTTCAAAACTCAAGTTTGATTCTAATATTACTCTTTGTTCTTCTCCCTTTTTTTTCCTTTGAAGTGTTTGGGAGGGATTGGGAAGTAAAGAGAATGGGAAAGGATGGAAGAGAGAAAAAGAAGGGAGATTACGGTTAAGGAGTGAAGAAAAGGAATAGAAACGGTCAAACAGGGTCGTTTTTGTTTGAATGTTGATCCCATATCTCCTCACGTCTATAAGGTGGAAGGCCATTCACCATGAATTCGCCACACATTTTTTCTTGCTTCCTCATAGTTCTGGGTCAAGACTCAAGTTCATGGATTCCCACTAACTTGTTTCATAATTGTAGAAGAATATATATATTTTTTGGTACAAAGCAATTTCGGCATTAATTTAGTTAAGTCAATTCCAACTCTTCAAAATAATGTTTCATAATTTTTTTGGTTTATTAAGTATAAATTTAAAAATCAAATCAAATTCAAAATAATTCTAGTTTTTATTTGATTAAGTTTTAAGAAAGTTAAAAAATTATTGATTATTTTTTGATTAGTTGGTATGTTATTAGAATTGGTACTTGATGATTGCAGGTTCGAAAGAGTTAAATAAAGAGGTGTAATATCCTTTTTAACAAGATATATAATTAAATAAAAAAATTTAAAGATAAATTAAAAACTTAAAATAAGAAAAATAAAAAAGCCGTTGGAACTAGGCTCATTGGAGAGTGACTTGTAATTGGGCCTCGCCACGAAGAAATAAAATATATAAGTTGTCGTTAGGATACGCCCTGTGTGGGTGAAGCTCAGCCCAACAGTTTCCAAGTCTGGGTCCTTAACCACTCGACGAACCGACTTCGGCCTGTATCATCCGTAAACCCAGTTTTTACTAACTGCTTGATATGTGCTTATTAAGCTTTCTGTTTATAAGATTATTGAAATTACATCACAGTTAAACAATTATCGACAAATATAACATTTTTTATTGTGAATTTACTTAAAGATTTTGGATGCATTTAAATTTAAATACATGGAACCCTAATAAAAGTGTATCAAATTATTAAATTTTTTTGTAATTGTTGTGTTAAAATTTAAACATTGATTATTAAAATTAAGAATCAAATACTTTATAAACAGTTCACATTAGTACTAACAACTTTTTTTTGACGTGGCTTTATGGCTTATGGAGTTCAAAGAGAAATGATCCAAATATAGAATAAAAATATTAATAAAAAAGATAAAGAAGATGAATCTAAATCAGAAACTTGATACCAAAGATAGCAACTTCTGTTCTATTCCAAGTCTAGGAACAAATTCTAGCTCTTCTTTAAAGGAGCATGACACCTTGTGCACAAAAGAAGCGCGCTGGGCTGCAAATAAAGTTGGAACTCTTCTATCTTATTTCATCTTTTCCGTACTTTAACTTTACAGCAATATTATATCATAATTAAGATTCCTTAGACCAATTCCACCATGTTGATCATGATCATGACGATCGGGAATTTAACCAAGAAAATGGAAAAAAAAAAAACAAGAATATTATATATATGGATTCTCATTTTACATAAACTTTTTTTTTCTTTTATAAAATAGAGATAAATAATACTACTAATGATTACTAGGTAAAATCACCGATTCTCTTCTTTCCGAGCTCTCTTGACCTTGCGGTGCAAATCAGTGAGAAGAGGCCTAGGGAACAAGGACTCGACCTCTTGTGAAAGATTGAGTTGAAGATTCCTGCGTGTGCGTGTCCTACTACTTGGTGATGCTTTTCCTTTATTTGATGAGAGTGGCTTTGGTTTTCTTGGTGCAGGTGGACATTGTCTGATCACTGGGATTTTGTGATCCAAAGATGTTGGAGTTTTGAATCCATCATCATCATCATCATATTTTTCCTTGAATTCCCCTATAAATATCTTCTTCTTCTTTCCGATTTCCTTAGAAGCTTCTGTAACGTTGCTTTCTTCTCCTTTTTTCTCTCTATGATCTTCCAGTACTAGTCGTTTTTTATCATCTGGAGTGTCATATGAAGAAGAAGTAGCATTAGCTTGACACTCCTCTTGAAACTCAAATGCTGATCGTTTCAGAATATCGAATTCGATCCCTTCTTCTTCATTTTTAACGAGGAACAGCTCTGAATTTGACATGGTAAGAAGGGAAATCTGGCTGAATTCTGCTTACATTAAGGTCAAACTGCAAGGACAGAATGAGAAAGAATACTGAGAGAGATAGAGAGAGAAGCTGACAAGAGACAAAGCTAGGTGAAGAAGCTAAGAAGGAAAAAGATGTTTGATATAGAGATCCTAAGCAAAGAATGGAATATAATCATCAAATCACCGTCTTTTTTTTTTTCCAGGAATTCTATTATTTTAGATTTTCTTTCAGGTTTTTTCTACACTTTTGGTGAGAGTAAGAGTAAACAGTTTCAGAAGACAGAGACTTACAAAGAGAGACCGTTTAGTTTTTTGTGCATCGGATCCTTCACTCCAAGAGGTGGCTTTCCAAAGCCTCCAGCCCTCCACGTTCACCAATTACCCCTTCTCTCTCTCTTAATAAATATTTGTTTTGGCACTTACTTTTCGATCTTTTTTGTTTTACCTAGTTTTTTTTTTCTGATGGTTTCTACGAACTTCGATGTATCTATGCACGTGGTTCGCTATACATTGGGGACAATGGGTCGTTTTGAATTTGATATGATCATCAACCCCATCTCATGATAAATTATTAGCTAGGAAAACTTACATCAGATGCTTTGTTTATCTTGCAAAGGATCAACTAACCTTGACTTTTTATTATGGTTGCTAGTATTACCCAACTCTTTTTATTATTACTTTAAATGTAATTCTCCCATATATATGAAATCATTATCTAATATCTTGGGAGAGAGTTTGATTTCAATTTTCAATCATAAAAATTATAGGTTTGATCATTTGTCTTTGTCCAATGCCTATAGATCAACTTTCAATCATAAAAATATGTTGAATAAAATTTTACATTTCAGTCAAATCAAAAACTTAATACAAGGGATTTTCTTCAACAACCCCCCCTAGGCTTAACTTGCTATGCATAAGTATTGTTTTTGTTTGATTTAGGTACTAGGAAAGGCAAGGGAAGGCTTCTTTTTTTCTTTTTCCTTTGTTTGTACAAAGAACTCTATGTTGAACGCTTGAATCTTTCTTTGACTCAAGCATCCGAATAGATTCAGGGTTTTGAAAGCAAATAAATTACTAACAGATATGGTGTATCTTCTAATCAATTGGGACTCTGCTTTGTGTATCTGTTACCACTTTTTTTTGAGTAATAATAACAGAAATGGTGGAGCAAAAATAAGCATATGAATAGATTCGGGGTTTTGTGTAGCATTTTGTCAGTGACACATATATAATAGATTCGTGCTTTGTAGTGGATACTCTCATTTGGCAATGAGTCGCTTTCCATAATTTCCTTGCAGTGGAGTAACTGATACGCAGTCTTTGGGGATCAGTAACTTTGGATTCCTTCATCCCCTCAACATGGAAGGAGTTGAGATTTGGTAAAGCTTCCATACTCAACTAACGACTATCACCAGCCTTGGCCCGTTATTATCAATTTAATGTAAAAATATTGTTGTTTCAACCCACAAATACTAAAAAAGATAAGTGCATAAATTTGATACTCAACACTCTTTTGAGATGATAAATTGAAGAGAAGAAAGCGAAGCAATCATCTCATGCTTGGAGTGCATTGTTTTCATCATCAGATTGTTTTACATTCTAGCTTTATTAGAAGTGAGAATCCTGCTGCCACCCCAATCAAATTCTGCCAGTATTGCAGCAAATGGGTTTTGCTTCTTATGTGATTGGAGGGTCTATAAACAAAGGAGGTGAATCCTGGAGGATGGAACTTTTTTGGGTTTAGGGATTTAAGTACATGTTAAAAACTAGTACTTTAATAATGTATGTTTAGCAGGATAATGAAGCAAGAAACTGTTGAAACACGCACTCTCTGATGCAGAATAATTGCATGTCAAAGCACATGGATCATGATTTTGCCCCCATTGCCAACCATCATGCATGTTCCATGCCTCACAATCATCTCTACCTCTTCTTCTTTTTTTTTTACAAGGGAGGCTGAAGTTTGGGCGATTGAAAATAGAGAATTGCGAGTGTTGGGACCTACCTAATCTCAAAAGAATCTAAGAAGGTGGAAACCCACGTTCACCGTCGTCGTCTCTATCTATTTCCCTCTCTCTCTTCCAATTTCATCTCACTCTTGACCCCACAAATTTCCATTTCCAGTTTGGTTTTACTTTATTAACATCCCCTTTCTTTATAAGGTTGCCATGGCATCGAAGACCGAACTATCTATGTAGTTTTGGACCAGCCCCAGCAAATCAGAACATTAAACTTTTTTAGGTTTGCATGTGGATGCTTTATTTTATTGAATCTTTATGCGTGTGTTTTTGGGAAAAAAGGTAGGAGAAAGGTTGGCGTTTGCGGTGAAGAGATTAATTAGATCAAGAGAAACTGCTGTCAACTGTCAAGTATACACCTAGGGAAGCAAAGCTTATTTGAGATGGCCCCAAGAAAGTTCCTCAAAGCAAATTTTGCTACCGGTCGAATCATTAACCCTATTTCAAATTCTAAACATTGAGTTTAAAAACTATAAGATATATGTATGAAAGAGAGATTGAGATTCTTTGCATTCAAACTGAAAAAGTACTGTAAAATTAAGGCCATTACTGGTACTACTCCTAAAACCATTACTGCTAGCAAATTCCATCGGTCAGTGTGTGGATTTAAATGATGCATGGGATGTACTATGGGATCGATGAGACACTCACATGAAACTTCTACTGTGTTGCTCACTTTGTCACATCTATGATTCTATATGACAATGCTTAATCAATCCAGGAAATGAAAGTCCTGTAAGAGACGAGGAACATGGGATGACAGAAGGGCCTAGGACACCTAAAGAAAATGCTAGCTTGCTAGGGGATATTAGTTAACCAAACATTTACTTGATTAATGAATAGATCATATACCTGGTAAGTGGTCATAACATTATAATTTCTGAGCTGAAATAAAGTTCTTTATGCTTCAGGCTGGGTTATTACACTGCTATTCTCCACACAATGTTGCTAGGCCTAGGCATGCTAGCTGCAGAACAGTGAATATGTCGTTGGAAGTGTGACAGTAAGTTTTTGGATGAAAATAGTGTGAAGCTGTCACCTAATTCCTCTTCCACGCAGCAAGAACAAGTTAAGTTTTGAACTTTGAAGTTAAAGAATTTCGTACAGAATATGTATAGTTTTACCAGAGTACACTTCAACCCAACAATAGTTTGGACAGAAATAAAACCTGCAGCTTCTGACTTGGTTTTCCAGCAAGTTTGTATATATCAAAGCTTGCATCAGAACAACCGTTCAACATCTGCCCCTCATGATTTGATCGACTCTTCCATGCTCTTTGTGTAAACCATAGAAGTATGTATATGAAGTAGAGATTAGAATGTAATATGTATAATCTGATGGGGATCTGGGTCCAGATACTCTGCTGTCTGGCACACAGATTCCCTTACTTTTGGAAGATGCCTTAACCAAATTGCCAGTTGGGTTTTATATTCAGACCCTTTTGACCTTTTCTTTGAGTACAAAAAGTGATGTTGTCCACTATGTTATGTCTCTTGTTAGTGACTTAGGCATCGGCATGTCAGGATTCCAACACGTGCATATAACCTGTTAGGCAACCTTTTATCATCATGATTTACACTTCTAAGAGGATTTTGAGTTTATTTCCATTTTTTTATTAAATCTTTCTTTTGAGTATGAATCACATCCTCGTCTAAAAGTCAGAAAACCATAATGTTGGGGCCATTGCTCAAATTTCAATTTCAATGTGGGCCTTGACTTGAAACTTGATCATGGTGATCATAGAGCTGAAATTGGCCATTCCCTGGAAACAGGAATAACAGATTTGATCGACTCAAAGATAGGAAACAAATTTAACATTGGATTAATTCTAAAAAAATTTTAATTTCCCTTACTCTATCTAGGGTAAAAACTAAAAGCCTGGTAACCAGATCCGTTTGATCATGATTTGGGATTCTCTCAGAGTATTGTCCGAAGGTTTCCAAGGAACCAAAGCTAGAAAGTTCAGAGAACTATGCTTAGAGTTAAGAACTCCTATAAAGCTTTTGAATTAGCCATTTCATGACAAAACCCATTTGGCAGAGTGAAATATGGAAGAATGAAAGAGGTTGTGTGAAAAAATAAAAAGATAATTATTTTTATTTGTGATTGGTAGGAGAGAAAAATGAGAAAAAAAAAAAAGAGAGGAAGATTGTTATTTTTTATATTTATTTACAAAAATAATTATTCTAAAATGAAAAGATAAATAGAGGAAAAAAGAGAATATAATGCATTAATTTCCAATATTTTTATATAAATATCATCTTAAAAATAGGGATCATTACGGTTTGATTCGGATCGAATTTAATTTATTTTTTTTGAATATCGTATAATATAATGAAAATTTAAAATTTATTTCAAATCTGAACTAAACTTTCATTCGATCCAAATCAAATTTTACCTATTCAGTTCAGTTTAATTTTTTAATTTTTAATTTTTATATATTATTTTAATATAAAATCTTGATATATTTAAGTAAAGTTTGATATAAAATTATTATTTTTATTTTATAAAATTTTAAAAAATATATAAAAATTAAAAAAATATATAATTCTGTTCGATTTGATTTTTTTCGATTTTTCATCTTTTGATCTAAACTTAATATATACATTTAATATCTAAACTTAATCCAAACGGAATAAAAAAAAAAACAATCCAAACTGAATCGAATATTATGATTTTGAATTAATTTTTAAATTTTTGAATTTTTTTTCTCACTCATATTTAAAAATTACTATGAACGTTCTTTTAACAATTTCCGATATTAATTGCCATATCCAAGTAAAAAAACGTAGTAGAAAATATTGGGAAAAAAATTTACTTTAGCTTGACGGCATCCTTCCTCCGTTAGAGTTTAATAGCCCTACTTGATTTATGGTTATTAAATTGTTGGGTGAGATGCTGGGGTAAATATTATTGTAAACTATATGATTAACCAATTATTTTTGTCATTTTTTTATTTTAATCGCCTAATTATGAAAAGTAATGATTTAATCATTAATGTTTATGAAATTATTTTAAAATTTGAGTGACTAAATTGTTAGTCTCTAATCTTTGGTTGATAAAAACCATTATTTTTCATAGTTCGATAATTAAAATAACAAAAAAATAGTTTAAAATTAGATGAATAATCATGTAATTTACGCAAATATTATTGGCCCATTCATTAATCTCCTCCAAGCCAGGGACGAATTTATATGAAGGTTATGGGAACAATTGTCCGTACTCGACTTTTTTTAATTTATTAAAAATATATAATTTTCTTTAAAATTAAAAAAAAAAAAGTATCTTGTCTCATAAAATTGAAAATAAAAAATTTTTTAGATATTAGATTTGAGTTCCAACAAGTGTAAATTTTGTTCAATTATATATTAATTTATTAATAATTTGATTTCGTTTGTTTATTGAATTTTTTTTTTTAAAAGCTTAAATTTTGAGATCTTAATTTTAAATTTAATGTAGTGTAGGCTTCATCCAATTATACTTTAGTTTATTAATTATTGGGTACAAATCACACTTTATATATATTTAATTTAATTTTTTTAAGTGAAAAATATTTATTCACTGTTAAATCAAATATTCGAATATTTTTTAATATAAATTTATTTTAATTTAATTTTAAGTTGATTTATTATTAAAATTTCTCCATTAATATATTATGTGATATATATAAGTTATTTGATTGTAATTAATTTTTTTATTTATAATTTTTATTTTATAATAAATTATAAAATTTATACATTATTGATGCATCAAATATAAATCTTAAATTATAAGTTGTAAATTCAATTGGAATTGGCAGATAGTAACAAACTTAGACAAATAATTAATAAGAATTCTCAAGAACGAAAAAAAAAAGAAACAAAAAAAATCCAAAAATTTACCCAAAAAAATTTGTTATATTTATAGACTTTAAATGTACGCCATCTAATTTGGTAGCTGTGGCGGATTGTACCGAGGCACACCAAACCAAATCATTCGTTCATTCCACGTCGTGAGTGGCCACATCTGTAAATACTCACAAATTTTTAAGGTAAAACCGTCATCCCAAAATCCAAACAACAGACAGCTGGATCTTCCACAACCGCCAGATCAGACTTAGCCCACTCACCTTGACCGTAGATCTTGTATCCATACGCCATCGCCGAAAAAAATGAAAAACAAAAGGTCTGAAATTCGTGCAATACCGAATTTACTGCACATTTAAGTCGCATTTCATTTTGATTTAAAAAGCTTTTAATATTATAAATAAATATTTTCGAAAAGCAAACAAACTTTGTCTGTTTTTTTGTTTATTCTTGTCATTTTTGAAACAACCCGAGGCTCTAAAGGCGGGTAGTAGCTGAGAAGACAACCTAAAAAAACGCGAAATCACTGAAACTTTCTTCGATCATTTTTAGGTTCTCTTTTTTCGATCTTTGATTTTGTTATTTCTTGAATAATTTCCAGATTGTTGTTTCTTGATCTGTCATTTACTTCTGTTAAATCATGTTTTTATTATCTAAGTACAGTTACTTGTCATGTTTACTTGCGGATTTCTTTAACCGTTTTTGGAACATCTGAAATTTGTTTCCTCTAAACACTGTGGATCTATAGATTTCTAAGCAATGTGTTAGTATTTCTGTTGGCAATTGGTTTGGACATTATATAATTTCTAAGCTGTTCTTTTTCTTTTTTATTTGGTTCTTTTGCCTTTTGATCTAACCGATTTCTAGTTAATGGAGATGTTGGTTGAGTTGCAAGATGTAAGGTATTAGTGATTGAATTATTTAAAGAGTTTGTTTCAGACCAATCTATGATATTGTAAGAAATGATTTATGTTTTGAAATAATTTGTATCTACCTAGGATTATTGTTACTCCATGCGCAAACTATACTGATGGTTTTGTCTTTCAGGTTGTAGAAGATGGCTGATGGTGAGGACATTCAGCCCCTTGTCTGCGATAATGGAACGGGAATGGTTAAGGTACTAGACCAGATTCCGTATCATTTAAAAAGATTCCTTATCATTTAAATGCTATTCGAGTAAGCCGTTGTGCAACTTTAACGTAACATGGTTTTGAAAATTGTTTACTAGGCTGGATTTGCTGGGGATGATGCTCCAAGGGCGGTGTTTCCTAGCATTGTTGGTCGCCCACGTCATACTGGAGTGATGGTTGGCATGGGACAGAAAGATGCATATGTTGGGGATGAGGCTCAATCTAAGCGTGGTATTTTAACTCTAAAGTACCCGATTGAACATGGCATTGTCAGCAATTGGGATGACATGGAGAAAATTTGGCATCATACTTTTTACAATGAACTTCGTGTTGCTCCAGAGGAGCATCCAGTTCTCCTCACAGAAGCGCCTCTCAACCCAAAGGCCAACCGTGAGAAGATGACCCAAATCATGTTTGAAACCTTCAATGCACCTGCTATGTATGTTGCCATTCAGGCTGTTCTTTCCCTTTATGCTAGTGGTCGAACAACTGGTAAGCCATTCATTTAGTCTTAAACTTTGATCTGTTTCAATTTGTTTCCTAATGTTTTGTGTCATTACCTTGTTTTGGGATCTAAAGGAGGGAAGATCTCCGGACTTTGTCTACTAATAATGATTTCAGTGTTGAAATACAACAGAATGATCTCTGACTAGAAAGCTTTCTTTCTGAGTTTCATTCTTCTTTGCTTGTTTAATTGCATAACCTACCTTGTTAATCATTGAGTGAACAGTTACTTACAATTTGGGATGCATAAAATTTCAAGAATAGATATGGTTTGTAAGAAATGGTCGTGTTTAGCATACACAAAGGGATTTTTTTTCCTTTACATCCTATTGCAAATCAAATTATAAATGTTTGGGAAGCAGGCAGTATTTACTAGGGTAATTCAGAGTTGTGAGATCTTTTTAATGTGTGTTTTTTGCAGGTATTGTGCTTGATTCTGGAGATGGTGTTAGCCACACGGTCCCTATATACGAGGGATACGCTCTTCCACATGCAATCTTGCGTCTTGATCTTGCTGGTCGTGACCTCACTGATGCACTGATGAAGATTTTAACCGAACGGGGTTACTCATTCACCACCACAGCTGAACGGGAAATTGTGAGGGACATGAAAGAAAAGTTGGCTTACATTGCCCTTGACTATGAACAAGAACTAGAAACTGCTAAGACCAGTTCTGCTGTTGAGAAGAGCTATGAGTTGCCTGATGGTCAGGTGATAACCATTGGGGCTGAGCGATTCCGATGCCCAGAAGTCCTTTTCCAGCCATCTATGATTGGGATGGAAGCTGCTGGTATCCATGAAACAACCTACAACTCCATAATGAAGTGTGATGTTGATATCAGAAAGGATTTGTATGGCAACATTGTGCTTAGTGGTGGCACCACCATGTTCGCCGGTATTGCTGATAGAATGAGCAAAGAGATCACAGCTTTGGCTCCTAGCAGCATGAAGATTAAGGTGGTTGCTCCTCCTGAGAGGAAGTATAGTGTGTGGATCGGTGGTTCTATACTGGCATCCCTTAGCACTTTCCAACAGGTAAGTTTATTATGCATTTATCTTCAATTGCTTTATTAAAAGCGCAATATGAAAAGTTTCTAATGAGGAGCCCAACCTTTCCCTTGAGTGCAGATGTGGATTGCCAAAGCTGAATATGATGAGTCTGGCCCTTCAATTGTGCACAGGAAATGTTTTTGAGCACAAGCAAGGAAAAGATAGGCTTTAAGTACTGCTCTGTTTTAGGAAGTAAATGCTTCTCGCATTTTCATATTTTGGTTTCCTCGTCTGTTTTTCTTGTCCTATCACCTTCGGACAATAACCTTGAAAGGATGAGATGATTGTTGGAATATTTAAATTTTCCGTTATCATTGTTTTTTTTTTTGGTAGTGAGGAACGATTGCCCATCAAACTTGTTCCTTGTGTGTTAATTCTTATTATCTGTTTTATTTTTTAATCCCTACGTTATTGCTAGGTCCCACCAATGTGATGAATGAATAATCAAAATTCTTCATAGTATAAAACGATTTCAGCAAATTGTAAAGGGTTCATCCATCAAATTTGGCTCTATATTAAACCCTAAACCATAAAAAAAAAAAAAAAAGCAGCCCAAATGTTGGTAATCGGCTTCTCAAAAGCTACATTTTAATAAGTTCAAACGCATCCTAAAAGTGAAAACGACTCGTTTTGCCTTGTGGGAGACAATACCCATTCAATCAGTACTGGGCTACCAGCAGCACAAAGCGAAACGCGTCGTTTGCTTCTGTTTGAGAATAGAAATATAGAGTTGCGCCGTCGGCCCTGACGCTGGAATTGAGCATTGTACGGAAGAATCTTTCTTTTTTTTGGTCACCGAAGCTGGAAAAATGGTAGACTTTCCCTGTTGAAATTACTGGGATATCTGAACTCTGCTAAGAGAAGAGAAAACATGGGTAAAATAGCAGTGGCGGCGATAGTGAGCATTTGGGTAATTCCCGTATCCATCCTGGTGAATCGCATTGTTCCTGATCCTTACATGGTAAGAAAGACAATTAAATTGACTCTCCTCCTTGAATCTTCTTCCTTATTTTCCAATGAATTTAATCGGTTACAAAAATAGTCAATTTTGAGTCGATTATTTATCTTTTTAATTTGGGCAGGATGAGATCTTCCACATACCTCAGGCTCAACAATACTGCAATGGCAATTTCAGGAGCTGGGATCCCATGATCACTACCCCACCTGGCCTGTAATGCTCTTTCTCTTCTCTGTTTCTCAATTTCATTCTATCCCTTTGTTCATATGAAAGTTTGTGATTAACTTTACTGATTTGTCATGGGTTGTTTTATATGAAATTAAAGATTATAACAAAAGGATGGATTGGCTCTATTCAATCAGATTAATTTATGTTGCATTGATAATTGCAGAGATGGGTTTTCGAACTAATTGCTTTCCTTCCATGCTTTTCCTATTATTTCGACTCTATTGCTCAAATGTTGTAAATGTTTATTAACACTTAGTTAGAAATATTTTTTTCAGGTATTATCTTTCACTTGTTCATGTTGCTGCTTTGTTTCCCGGCAAATATTTTCTACAATTGGCTTCATCATTCCCGGAAGTTTGCTCCACTGCAGTTCTTCGCTCTGTAAATGGAGTCTTGGCAGTACTATGCAGCATTCTGGTGTATGAGATAATAACCCACTTGAGGCCAGCTCTTGATGATAGAAAAGCAACGCTTTTTGCTGCAGTTCTAGCCCTGTATCCACTCCATTGGTTCTTCACTTTTCTTTACTATACTGATGTTGCATCACTTACTGCTGTGCTCGCTATGTATCTTGCATGTTTGAAGAAGAAATATCTATTCAGTGCATTGGTAAATGAGTCAGCTTAATTTTTGTTTCTTATGCAGTTTATAAATGATCAAATTTCCTGGATATTTCACTCACAGCCTTGAAACGAGATAACCCAGCTATGTTTGAGATTGCATATCAAAAACTGAATGGCAAACTATTCTTCAGGCTTCTAGCTTAGTAATCTTGCTATACATAGATGAGGCGCTAATCATTTAAAGGACAATAAAATCAAACAGTTTTGGGATAGATTCACAATTATCTGAATGTTGTCATATATTTCTTCTTTGTTGTTTGATGTAGGTTTTTACTGCTTTCCACCTGTATTCTTGCAGCTTGGGGCTGTGGCAGTTCTTATTCGACAGACAAATATTATATGGATGCTTTTTGTTGCCTGCTCTGGGGTCATTGATATTACTATGGCACATCAAAGAGATTATATGGAAGTTGATAATTTAAAGACATCAAACAAGAGTACCGGTCTGTCAACCTTCAATACCAATGTCAATGTGAGTTCAAACTTGAGGAAAAGGAAGTCCCGAGGAAATGCAGAGGCTAATAAACATTCCTTTTACTGGACAAACACCTCTTCAACAGCCCGAACATCAGGTTGTTTGGACATCTTTGATGTTACTTTTGTTAGTTAATTTGTAAAACCATGTAAGTTGTATTGTTATAGAGTTACTTGTTAACTGCTTGTTCATAGGATTTAGGCAATTACTCTTTGCCGGGAAAGGTCATTTTTGCTAATTTGAAATCCTTTGGGCATTATAATGCAGGTCTGCTTCATGAGATTCAGGCTATTGTTTTGACTTCATGGCACATAAAGTGGATGCTTTTGGTCTCCTTTAGCCCATTCTTTTTTGTGTTGCTGGCGTTTGTTGCTTTTCTCATTTGGAATGGGAGTGTAGTTCTAGGTATCATTCATTTTACCATGTTATTTGGTTTGTTTATGTCCTTTCTTTTCTTTCTTCTTTCTCACTCCACTTCTTAATACTGCAGGTGCAAAAGAAGCTCATGCAGTTTCTCCACATTTTGCACAAATAATGTATTTTAGCTTCATTTCTGCTCTTCTTGCGGCTCCTCTGCATTTCACAAGAGGTCATGCCCTAGATCTGTTTCAGTCATTCTGGAAGAACAGACTGCTTGGTTTTTTCCTTGGATTTTTGGCTTTAATTGCTGGCCTCCTTTCTGTACATTTTTTCAGGTTAGTTCAAACAATCAATAATAGACTGATACCAGATTATCTCACATGAATTTGGAACTCCTTGTTTCTTCTTCTTTTATCTTCTTAGCTTCATGATGAAACACTTCTACTCTTCCATCATGTGGTTAATGGATTGTTGCAGCATTGCTCACCCTTATCTTCTTGCTGACAATCGGCATTATACTTTCTATCTTTGGAGGAAGATAATCAAATTGCATTGGTCAATGAAGTATCTTCTGGTGCCGTTTTATGTTTATTCATGGTTCTCAATCTTCCATTTATTGGGTTAGTAAATATCACTGTTTATCTTATTGTACATAGTTTGTCCCAGCTATTCTGAGGTTCCAACATATCTTGCATTGTCAGATAAAACCCAAAGGAGGATCTGGGGATTGGTGCATTTCTTGGCTACTTCTGCTGTTCTGGTTCCTGCTCCACTAATTGAATTCAGATACTATACCATTCCATTCTATCTTTTCATGCTTCATGCCGGTACTAATGACGGCCGAAGCTGGCTTCTGATGGGTGTTCTATATACAGTCCTGAATGTCTTTACTATGAGAATGTTCTTGTTTCGGCCGTTCCACTGGGACCATGAGGCCGGCGTCCAGAGGTTCATATGGTAGATAGGAAAACACTAAAAGCTTAAATGAGAGAAGCGTTAGCAGTTCGTTATCATCACGTGACTCACTGGTTTTGCTAATCTTAGTGTTCTTTACTGGATCATGGAGAACTAACGCTTTGATTCCTTTGTTGGCATCTAATTTATAAACACCATTACATGTCAAGCAAATGAATTTAGCATGTTTGATATGCAGCTTGTAACAAATGATGTTGGTTGTAATGTCAAACATACATATGTTTCCCATATGGGCCCTTTACATAGCACACGAATTTAAATTTTAGTTTAAAATCAGATGATTTGTATAATTATTTTTAAAAGTTGATATTTAGTTAATTTGATGAATAAATTTTAGCATTTTAATCTTTTTTTTATTATTTAGAGACAGCAATAAAAATAACTATGAATTAAAGCAATGATTATTGGTAAATTAGTTGCAATTTCTTATGAACTTTGACCAAAATTTCGAAGAAAAGTCGCATAAAGGTTAAATGAAAACAAGAAAAATTTAAAGATGGAGAAATTCAAAACCAAAACGACGCTGTTTCATGCATCTGCTTTCTTTTTGTCTGACCGAGATAACCGGTGAAATGCTGAAGAAACTCTCTTACCTTCAAATTTTTTAAAACAAAAAACATCAGCTTTGATGCAAAGAAAAGCTTCTTTCCGATGGCAAATCCTAGGCTTCGCGCGTTGACTTGGTGGAGAAAGTGGGCAAAGAGGGATTGGGCCATCGTAGCCGTCGGATTCACCATCATCCTCTTCGCCCTCACTCTCCACTTCGATTCTCGAAACCCCGCCACTTCCTCTACCTTCGATCTCCACTCCACCGACGATCTAGTTCCCTTGACTTTGCTCCACAGAGCCAAAGCTACAGGCGCCTGTACCCAATTCTCCACCTCTTCTTCTCCAAAATTCAACCCTTTTTTCTTCTAAAATTAGTTATTACTATTAACTTTTTTAACTTAATTTTATTTCTCAGTTTGCTTAGATGGAAGTTTACCGGGATACCATTTCCATAAGGGTTTTGGATCTGGCTCTAACAATTGGCTTCTCCACATTGAGGTAAATTCATTACTTTTCACCTTTTTTTTAATTTAATTTTGTTTATTCTTGCTTTTTACCAGAATTTGACTTTGTTTTCAAATTTTCTTTTGGGGGGCTTAGGGTGGAGGCTGGTGTAATTCAATAAAAACATGTAATAATCGGAAAGGGACAGCTTTAGGTTCCTCAAATTACATGGAACGCCTGGTTCCATTTTCTGGGATTTTAAGCCGTCACCCTTCTCAAAATCCTGGTATATTTTTTTGCATTGTTAATTTCATTTTTTTAATTTGATAAATTATGCTGTTTAAAGAATGTGACTTTTAAATGAGTGGTTTTTTTTTTTTTTTTTTTCAGATTTTTATAATTGGAATATGGTTAAGATACGTTATTGTGATGGTGCATCTTTGGCTGGCCACCCTGAAAGTGAGTTCAAGGTAGAACTTGTTAGTTGTTTCAAGACTGGAATAATTATTCACATAAAATAATTGGATTACATTTTTATTTTTCTTGGTTTTTGTTTTATTTTTTATTGTCATTTGTAGAATGGAACGGAACTTTTCTTCAGAGGCCAACTCATTTGGGAAGCAATTATGAATGAACTCTTATCGCTTGGCTTGTCTAATGCAAAACAGGTAGCGACATCAATGGTTTTTTAGAGTTCCATATTAAAGGTGAAATTGTTAATAAGTACATTGTTTTGTTTTTACTTTTCACGATTGTTATCATGCAATTGTTAGTTGCAAGGTGATGGATTTGATGACTTTGCAGGCACTTCTTTCAGGGTGCTCTGCTGGAGGGTTGGCAACTCTTATACATTGTGATGACTTCCGAAATCATCTGCCAAAGGATGCGACTGTCAAGTGTCTTGCCGATGCAGGTTTTTTCCTTGATGAGTATGTTCTTTTTGGTACAATATCAATGCTTCTTAAGCTAATACTTAAACTGATCATAGTGGTATATATACATGTCTGGATGTAAAACTACAGATGAATGCATGTTTCTAAGTATTTAATAATATGTGCATGCATCTATCAATCTATGTATGCAAGCCTGCATGCAAATGATAAGTCATTCAGATGTTTCAACAAAAAATTATAGCGGGGCTGAGAATTGAGATACTTAACCAGCCCAATTTAATAAGTTCTGCTTCATTTATCCATATGACTCGAGTTAATGCATCCTAATTAAATTTAGTCTTGACTGCATATGCTAAAAATTAGTTTATTTTCTATTTCCTCCATTGCAGGCCAGATGTTCTTGGAAATTACACCATGCGTGCTTTCTATCATGATGTTGTTGAACTTCAGGTTCTGCTTCAATCTCCACATATCATATCTTGCCATGTATTATTCGTTCTTAGAAAATGATATCTGTTGTTTTGGTCATTTTGACTGTTGCCATTAAAATTTAAGGTGTGCTAGGGTACATCTCCCTGGGTCCTGATCGGTGGTTCCTATTTTTTATTTTTCTTTTTCCTTTTATTATTCAATCTTTTTTAAAGTTGTTAGTATCTCTTGGCTGCATGTCATGTCAGGGTGTAGCAAAAAGTTTGCACAAGAATTGTGTCAAAAGAATGGAACCATTTAAGGCAGGTTTTGATTTTTGTCTTTTATTCTTTTCTTGTTTACTTCTGGTATTCTTATTACTGTCATATTTGATGATTGTTCTCCTTTGCTGTTTGAGTTAAACAACTTTGAATTACAACATTTACGTGCCACGGTCTGCTGTTAATTGCCATTGCAGTGTATCTTTCCTCAAGAAATTATAAAAAATGTTAGAACCCATTTGTTCATTGTCAACCCGGCTTATGATTTTTGGCAGGTAACTTGTTCGAACTGGACTATTTGCAAATTTTGTGATGCTATTAATTATCCTTTCCATTTATAAGCTCTAATACTGACTGGATGATCTTTAGATACAAAATATCTTAGTCCCTGTTGACTCAGATCCTTATGGCTATTGGAGCAGTTGCAGATTGAACATTCAGAAGTGTAATTCTACCCAGATTGAAACACTACAAGGTAGTTGGATATGTAATATGTACCCAATCTACTTTGCCTGACAATCCAAGCAGACATTAGAAAATTGAAATTGGAGATATGCATTGCAATCAATATATCCAAGCAGTTAAGGAGCTCTTATGCTGTGGCCTGATTTTCATATTGCTTCTGACATATAGGTTTCCGTGGTTCTCTGGTTAATGCACTTAGTAAGTTTCAAAAAAACAAGGAAGGCGGTATGTATATAAATTCTTGCTTTATTCATTGCCAGACATGGATGGATGATACATGGCATTCGACCAATTCTCCAAGAGTCAACAATAAGGTAAGGAATTTTTTGATATTTAGCGTATACTGTATTAGGGAGATCAAACGATCGTTTTCAGGGTCTGTCATGATGCTCAGGATGAAAAACTTTAGTAGCAAGTGATTTAGCATTAAAAAAACAATTGATAGGGCATATGATTCTGATTATATGAATGTCGGTATCCATGGCTTCAATCTGGTCTGACTGGTGATTCATATTTGCTCTTCACTGGGAATTTTATTTTAATAATTATTAACCGCTTTAGTTGGGTGACGTGTTTGAAACAGACCATTGCAGAGTCTGTGGGTGATTGGTACTTCAACCGTAAAGTATCGAAGCAGATCGACTGCCCTTATCCATGCAATCCCACTTGCTGTAACATGGACTTCACACGAAGTTTATGAAGCACATCGCCAGTATTTTGTTTTTTGTTTTTGTTTTTGTTTTTTTTTTTGCAAGATCTCCAATTTTAAAATTACCCTGTTGGATATTATTCCAATTTGCATTCAAAGAAGGATCTTGAATATTGAAACACAGTACGTTGAATCAGGTCATTGTTCATAGTTGATGTCAGGCCTCCCTTAATTTACTGCTATAGCAATGGGTTTTATGTTTTCGTTAAGGATAAAATATTCCTAGTATTGGCTGTTTGTTGGAATCTTCCTTTTTCAATTTAGGGGGTGACCTACATTTTGCTTTTTAGGTTCTTGAATCTTTTGTCACCACTGCCGAATATTCATGAATCGTAGCCGCAAAAAAGGGAAAGGGAAAATCCCCCTTTAGTTTTATTTCCAAATTTAGCTAAAAGACTTTTACATTACATTCTTTTAATGGCAATAAGAAAATAAATAAATAAATAAATAAAAACTTTATGCTTCTTATTTTCAGGATTTTTTTGCTTTGAATACACCAATAAATAAAATAGAAAACTATATACTATTTCGTTCAAGGAATGGACAATCTTCTGCCGTTTGATTTTGAAATGCTTTTGGTTAGTGGGCCTATGGGTCCACAATGGTGGTCAGGGATTGCTTGTCTTGAGAGTGGGCCACATAGCAGAATGTTCTTACCGTGGGCCATTGTCCGTCAGCCTTCTAGGTGGCAAACATATGTTGGGGATTGAGCCCATCAATATACTCCAGATTGTTTTATTCTCAAAAGCTCAGTTGTTGAGGGGAGAATTTTTCTTAATTCTCGAGTATTTTGAGAGTAAATTTTAAATGTATTAAATATCGAAAACAAAGACTCAAGGGATACCTTAACTGTATTATAAATAATATTGGTAATTTAAGTATTGTGTTTAAAGACTACGAAATTAATAAAAATAAATTTGGATTAATTTTAAGTTATTAAATTAAAAAAACAAAAAATATATCAATAGATGTACTCTCTCAAAAATTTTCGAACGAATACCTTATTTTTTACCTCATTAATATTTTTCGACTATCAACCTATGGATATTTACTTGTTAAAAACATTGATGTTTAGTTCAAGTTAGATGTTGATTCTTTGCAACTATTATAATCGATTAGTAATTTACCATTCAATCAAAAGAAATACTCAACAATAAAAATTTTTTTTAAAGGAAGGCAACACTCTATTGTATGAAAAAGGAGAGGGGACTTTCCTCTCTTAACCTAGTGGTTAAGAGACTGGTTGAAAATCGTGTAGACGTGAATTTGATCCCGTCGTTCCTCCTTCCCTTTTCTAAGGGCACTAACCTTTTTTTGCAATAAAAAAAAAAGAAAAGGAAGAGAGGATAGCTTAATTCAAACTCAAACTCTAATGTCTTCCTTAATTTTTTTTGCCACTATGCCGGGAATAAATTTGATTAAGCTTCACTTGAAACCAGACTCTCGTAACCGGACACCAAAAAAAAGAAAAAAAAAAACACTAAAACAAATCAAGGTGAAATGTTGACAGTTAAGTTGGTTAGAAGGGCAAATGGCAAGTTAACGAGGGAGAAGGGTTTGGTTGGTGGTCAAAGAGCCATCCAAAAGTAGAAAACTAACAAAAAGGAGAATTTTAATTAAGAGCCAGACAAAACTAAACAACATCCCACCTCAACCCGACATCCATGCTTCAATTCTTTGGATTCCTTCCTTTTGTCTTCTTTTCTTTTCTTTTCTTTTCCTTTTTTTTTTTTTTTTGGGTTTCATCTGATAGATACATTTTTTTCTCTTTAACCAATCACGCAAGCACATGCTTCTCAACCATGGCTCTGGTTTTTTTTTTTTTTTTTAATTCTCCAGTCAAAGGTATTATTCATGAAATATATATCCATCTAATGACTTTAAGAGTTTCAGCCATCTTTCTTTTCATGTATTTCATCATATTTGTGCATATAGAACGAAAATCCAGGGTCTCTATAATGTGTAATTCGGGTTTCTTAATGTTCAGTTGGTGATTTTGACTCTTTTTGTTTTCTTTACTAATGTTGTTTGGTTGCTGGAAATGGGGTATTGGAAAATCCTGATTAATGAAACAAAACCGAAGGTTTTGGGTTCTGTTTTTCTCCTCTCATTTTAACTTGCATGTTATTTATACTGATTTTATGCTTTTAGCTGTAGGATATATGTATGGTTGCTATTAATCCATGGGAAGAACTGTAGCTATGGTCTTCATTTTATGATTAATAGTATTACTCAAAGCACTTTTTGATTCTTTCCCTTGTTTTCATGGTAAATGAACAGCATTTGAAGCTGCAAAATTCATCTTTATTAGTTGATGGATCGATCTAGAGACTCAAAATCCTTTATTGAATTACTGAATGATTAATTCTTCTGGATCAACAAAACAGTAGTTAAAGTATAAATAAACCTTAAAAGTTTGGAAAATATCCTAGTGTTTACTTTGTAAAACCATAACATTTCCCTCCATATTATAAGATGGAACATATCATAACAATTTAACAACATAGTGATGATTTATTGCAATCTAATGTTAAAAAAGCTGCTTAAGTGAAAGAGCTTTGATGGTTACTTGATAGTATTTATTTAAACTTGAATCAGGTTCAACAAGCTTGTAGCTGAAGTCATCTGTCGGGCAAGCAGGTTTGAAAGGCAATTTCTCAGAGCAATGGGTAAAAACATGCGACACAAAAGCGCTGGCATCTCAATCCCGCATGGTCATCCAGGGTGCATGTGGGGTTTTCTTCATGTACTTAAGTATCAACATTGGCATTGGCGTTTTATTAAGAAAAGACTTCCACATAAGAAGGATGATGTAGGTAAGCGACTTGGTTCTCATTCTAAACCGAAAATTGTCCTACCATTTAGGAAAACAGATTGAAAACTAGGTTCATTTTGAGTTTTAATCAGAGTTTGATACTTAAGGGAAAGCAAAATGTTATATACTGACATAAACATCTTTGATCTAATAGCCGCTTTTCTGTCAAATCAGATTGTATTTTTACTTTTTTAAGTGAATCTATATCAACAGGAATGTCCTAAGTTGAAGCAACATAATAAATTTAGGTATCCTTTGCTAGTTTCCTGGTATCTGTTCTTCTTTCATGAATGCTAATAAGCTTTCTGGTTCATAGGGGTTGAAAATCCTGGGGATGGTAATAGTATACAAGCCTCAAATGCCGATGATTTGTCAGAATACAGGAAAGTTGAAGTGGCCAACTCTAAGGTGAGTTGATGTAGAAGGTTTTCTTTGGCACATTTCTTGACTTTACTTATGCCTTGTACATGTAAAAACATTTCAATAATTTTATTGGCAGGTTGAAGGAAAGAAGAGACCGTCCAGTCCAGCAACTAAAAATACAGTGAAATCTCGACTGAAGGCAATTATTATTGAAGAAATGTCTAAGAGGAAGGGCCGAAGCCGGCATCACCGAAGTTCAACTTACCCTGCACCATCACATTTGACACGAACTGGTTTAGTTCATCATGCAGAAGCCCATATTGATGATCTTCTTCCTGAAATGGCTCTAAATGATGAAAGTCTCACAGTGGCTGATGAGAACAACGAGATCTTCTCTGACAGCAGTTCTGAGGATCAAGTTTTACCAAAGTCCTCGGATGAACCAATTAGCAGTGAATCTACAGAAAATATCTGCAGAAAGTCAACGCCGTTGATAGCTGCAGACCACAGGGCAGATGGAATTCACAAACTAAACCAAGCAAAGGCTGAAATGATTGATATCTCTTCTTCAGGTTCATCCCAGCATCTGAAGCAATCCGGTGGAAATCAAGTGGCAAGAAAGAGATTCAAACATCTTAAACAGAATATAAAACATGCAATTAAGGAAAGCAAGAAAGAGAGGTATCGAATTGCCATGGATGCGGTCCTTCACAAAATTCCTCACAAGAAGGGGTTTTCCAAGGACTTGACAAAGAACATTCTTGATCATTTTAAGAACCTTTCACGGATTAGGGATGTTTTTCCTGAATTCTCTACCAGCAAGAGAAGAATGCAGTACGAGAGAAGAGCATCATCTTTTAATGAATCTATGGATAGATATACACAGTTGTATGAATCTAGTATCAACAGAGAAGCTAAAGTACATATCTCCAAACGGATACAAGAAAGTAGAGAAGAAGAGATGGTCTTGCCTCGTAGGAGTGCGCCAAAATCCCTGGGAAGAATTCTTTCCTCACCTGAATTACATTCTTATTTTTATCAAAGGGAGGACTTTTCTGATGCATTTTCTTCAGATATGCCAACTAGTGTTGTCGATGTCACTTCAAGCATAAGCAGCTTAACTGAACAAAAAATTCTAGATATTTCAGAGGCCTTGGATTATCGCTCAGAAGATACCCTTGGAAAAAGTGAGTCTGAAAAGAATATGATAGGCATTAGGGAAACACTTGATGAGTCGGGAAACTTGATGATTGGGGACAATGTTTCTCAAAGTGAACAAGACAGTAAGCCTGGAATTATACCTATCACTGAGCTGGAAGAAGCAAGTCCTATCCCTTTGCTCAACTTCAGTTCTGAAGGGGAAACAGCCAGTCCTGTAGAAATTTCCAAATCACTAGGTATATGCCCTGTTGATTCTTTTTCTTACCTTGCGGAACAGATCATATTCTAATAACTTGTTTGACCTTTTTGAACTGTTATATGCAAGTTACATTTCCTTATCAATTTATCTCTTTCTTTTTCGTGCATGAAACGAATGGTTCATGGTTAGAAGCAGGTTTAGAGCTAAAGCAAAGTCAGGGCCTTCCCAACGAACTCGACTTTTTGGCTGATGCGCAGCATGAATTGAGGGATGCCTCTAAGGATGCTGAGGGCATAGTTGACTTTGAGAAAGTAGAAACTTTAAAGAAGGATTTAGACACTGACCTTTTAAAAGATCTAGCAGATACAAATGACAAAGACACTGACCTTTTAAAAGATCTAGCAGACACAAATGACAAAGATAAATTTACATATGTGAGAGATGTACTCGAACTATCAGGGCTTAGCGGGAATGAAATCCTTGGTACATGGCATGCGGATGACCAGCCATTGGATCCTTTGGTGTATGAGGCAATCAGAGGTTGCATTTTCTGCGATCCCCATTGTTCCGGGGAGGAAGACGTTAGTTACTGTAATCACCCACTTTTGTTTGATCTAATCAACGAGGTACTGAAGGAGCTTTATGAAAAATCATACAGTTATTGTCCCAGACCTTTATCTTCATTATGCCACATCCGTCCAATGCCGGTAGGACACCATGTTCTTAAGGAAGTCTGGGCAAACATAAGCTGGTACTTGAGCTATGAATCTGGATTTGATAAACCATTGGATTATGTTGCCAGTAGAGATCTAACAAGAAATGATGGATGGATGAACCTACAATTTGAAAATGAATGCCTGGGGCTTGAGCTTGAAGAGTTAATCTTTCACGAACTTTTGGAGGAACTTATCTAGACTTGATGGCCTCCTGTGCTTGATCAGGTTTGTTCTTATCAGAAACACCTCAACTTTCAGTTCACCGGCATTTAAAAGTTCTATAACTTGATTGATTGTGTAATTAATACTTAGTTTCCCCAAACTTCAAAAGAGATTAGGCAAAATACAAGGAAATAGTTCTTGGTTTTATTATTACACATACATTGTGCAGGCAGGTCTTATTTATAAACAATCAATCTCTTGTAGCTGCCTGCAAGAACTCAATCTATTTTATGTTTATAATGTCTAAATTTGCTTGAAAAACATCCATAACTACTCTTTTGTTAAACACCAAACAGTTTCTAAAACAAGCGATTAATTTACAACTCCTCTGTCTGCTCTAAAATGCTCAAATCTTGAACTATTATCCACTTCTACTTCCTTTCCAGGGAAAAAAGCTGGCAAAATTTTAATCATTAAAAGAACGGAATTTTAATAATGTCAAAGAATCTGAATTCATAATTGAAGGCAGCAAAATATGAAATTGTTAGTATACTATTTAAATTTCTTAATCCTACCAACCACTAACCAAGCCCGTCTAGCTCAGTCGGTAGAGCGCAAGGCTCTTAACCTTGTGGTCGTGGGTTCGAGCCCCACGGTGGGCGTTTTTTTCTTTTCATCTGCAACGCATCTCAACTTATCAAGATTGATAAAAGGCATCCAATGAAAAATACAGAATACTAAAGTATGCTGCTATAGTACAATAAATCAAATTGATTTAACACCATTTGCGTGACTTTGATGCTTACTTCAATAACATCTTATGTCCAAAAAGCTTAATTTTTACGTTCTTACAATTTGTTCAAAAACCTTGGTTTTTTTTAACTTCTCTAAGATCTGATACGATGCAGACCGAATACCTTTCGCATCCCGCAGGTGGCATGGCACACTAAACAGATATGGGCAGGGGGCTTGATTCTGTCATAAACTAACTTTGATTAACAAAGCGATTGTTAATGTTTCTTTGCAGTGTAAAACTCAATGCGAGAGGCAGAAATGTTGAAAACATCCATGAGGCATGGGGCATGGGGTGGAAGAAGACGCATGCATGTGAAAGTGATACTTCCATATGCCATGATCAAATTAAAGTGAAAGAAATGCTTTCAGAAATTATGAAAGTGGTTGGACTTGTTGGCCCCCATATCAAAAGATTATTCCCACATCCACAGAAATGGGACTCGGTTCATTTTGGACCCACCAAAAGAGCACTGTTACTTTTAGCCTTTGTTCGGTGAGACCCTTCACTCCTACGGCTAAACAGGGAAAAAAAAATCAAAACAGTCCAGGGGAAAGAGTTTGAAGAAAGGTAAAAGAGAGAGAACCGAGAAGCATCAGCCACCCTTCTTGAAAAAGTGCATAAGAAAATCAATAGGATTTCCTTTTCATTATTGCCTTTCCAACTTCTGTTCTTAACCATCAATAGTTTAGTCATTTCATTGGGAGAACATTTGATAATTGACTATGCTTTCCCTTGCTTATTTGCTTGAATAACAATATGATAGTTGCTTCATGTGCCCAGCAACGAAAAAGCTTTGTTATTTTCTGAAGCTCGTCCATTCTTTATAAAGGCAAAGGAAAAGGAAAGGATATATATACACACATATATATATATATATATGTTCTTTTATGATGTAGACGAAAGTCAGGAGAATCATAGTAATTTAGAAAGGAGAGAAGAACCAAAAGATGGTTCTTTTTTCGTTGGGACCAATGAGGATTACTGTAAATGGACCCTACCATTGAGGCCATTGGAATGGTGACCTTAGAAAGTGGTACATGAGAGTTTTAGTTTAATAAAAAGAGGAATTTTCTTTCTTTTTGGGCTAAAGTTTAAAGCACTGACATTTTCATAATGCGTTTCATTTGATTTTCACCCCCACTCCACTCCTGTTTCACGTAGGGGGGAGAAAAAAATTAAAAAAAAAATCAAAAAATCGATTTAAATTATAATATTCAGATCGATTTAAATCGATTTTTTATATATTTTGTTTAGTTTAAATTTGAATATTAAATGTATATAATAAATTAAGATTAAATTTTAAATTAAAAAATTAAAAAATTAAAACAAATTAGATTATATATTTTTAAAATTTTTATAAAATTAATAATTTTATATCAAAATTTAATTAAATATATTAAAGTTTTATATTAAAATAATATATAAAAATAAAAAAATTTTAAAAATTAACAAATCAAACTAAAAAAATTCAATTCAATTCAATTCAATTCAATTCAATTTGCATTTAAATCAAATTTTATAATTTTATAATATTATTTAAAATTAAATTAAAAAAAAAAAAAAAAAAAAAAACAAAATTCGATCAGTTCGAAGCAAGTCAAATCGAAATCGTACCTAGTTAGGCATATTGTTCGGGAGGTTGTTATTCTTACACTCGCATTCAAGGATGGTGTAATCGAAAGCAAAGTTTTCATGGAAAGTCAGAAGCAAAAGCAGACACTAATTCTTGGAAACAATGATAGCTACGTCAACTGCTGTTATGCCCAACTTTTTTCAAGTCTCCTTTTTTTTTTTTTTTTTTTTTGCCTAGCCAAAAAATAACTAATTTTAATTTCCTATCAAAATCTTGAACAAACGGTCCACACACATCGTTTATAAACTAATAGCCGGCGAGGTCGTGTCTCAATAAACATTAAAACTTATTTGCTTATGATTGTAAATTTGTAATTTCTAAATATTAATTTGGACCTTTAACATTTTTCTTGAATAAATACATGCGTTTCACATGAAAACGCCCTTTGGTGGTAAATTTTTTTTATTTGACTAGGGACCAATAGATTACTATGTAAGTTTACATTTATACATAGGATTTCCTATTTTTCTAAAGGAAACATTATCATATCCATTAAAAATTAAAAATGAATTTAATGTCTTCGTCATGACCCTCAAGTTGAGACCTTTTGTTTCTTCTTCAACATAATGAATTTAAAAATTAAAATGTTCATGAATAGGATACCAAATGGCTTCACCAAAGCAAGCAAATCGTCAAGGAAAATCAAAAGCAACACGTCTCAAAGGGTGTCCACCAACTAAATCGTCACCGTTGATTTTAAGCTTAATCAAGATGAGTAAGGGGAACACCCTACATAACACTAGAGCAGTCCACCCCAAAACTATAAGACGACAAAGGAGGAGAGATCAAGAGTTACGTTGAACGATACCCGTGGAATAAGCATATGGACACGTGGACGGTTGATATTAAAGTTCTCTCGTCTCTCCCGGCCTATAAATTCAAAGGCCTTGGCTTCCTATAAACTCGTTCAAGTTTTAAGTGTTTTTCTTCATAGCTATTTGATTTGCATCAAAAATCACTTTGATTTTTTTTAATCACAAAAGTGAAAATGTCTTGCTGTGGAGGAAACTGTGGCTGTGGCTCTGGCTGCAAGTGCGGCAGTGGATGTGGAGGGTAAGTTCATTTCCGCTGCTTCATTTCCCTTTTTAAACGATTTGTTTCCCTGATCCTGTCATGAAAATCCCCTCGTTTCAAATGAATTAAAAATCTATTTTCCTTTAAAGGGTCTCTTGAAAATCTTTGTTGTTGATCAAACTCTCTTGTTGAATTGTTGTTACTTTGTTCAAAGTTTTGAAACTCCTTTTGTCAATGGTATTGTAGATGCAACATGTACCCTGACATGAGCTTTGCCGAGAAGACCACATCCGAGACTCTTGTTCTTGGCGTGGTACCCCAGAAAGCGTAAGTATCTGAAAGATAAAGACAAGAAAAATAAAATTTTGTTGTAAAGTTTTGGTTTTTAATGTTTCTGATCCATATCTTTTAATGCATGCAGGCACTTCGAGGGATCTGAGATGGGAGTTGGGGCTGAGAACGGCTGCAAGTGTGGAGACAACTGCACCTGCAACCCTTGCAACTGTAAATGAGAGAAAAACAAAGATTCTGGAAGCAGAGAAGCCTTGATTCTAATAATTAGTATGTCTTTGGAGTTATATGTGTTTGTGGGTTTATTAGAATAAAGTAGCCGCGGATTGTCTATCAGCAAATCTTTGACTGTTAAGGTCACGGTCGCTTGACAAGTACACAGCTATGTAGTGAAGTAATAGTATTTACTAGTAGTTTTTATGAGCGTCTCTGCTATATCGCAGAATATATTATGACTATATTTTGTATCAGAAAGTGAGTCAGTTTTCTTATGAATGAACGGAAGCTCCTTTCTTAATGCTTGAAGATGTTTTTCATTTTGATTTTGTGATTTTTCTGGGATGGTGGGATTTGATGTGTGTGATTTTGGATGGAAATTAAAACCCAAGACGAAGACCTCTTGCCAATTTAATGGTCCACATCCATACTGGCACAGTGAAAGTATGAGGTAAAGAGTAATTCTCGGAAACCATCATGCAAATCAAAGATTATTATACATTATTTGATTATTTTCTACTTGGATATGTTTATTTTTTAATAAAAGAATTTATACAGACAAAACTTTTTAAGTTGTTCCAATTGGATAGTGACTAAGTAGCCTTTCTCTGAGAGAAGTTGCCCACTAAATTTATTAGGCTGTATGCTGCGGGCAATCAAGCCTAATCGTTTCCAACACTCTATCTGTTTCTTCCTTTAACGCTCGTTCCAGGATAAAGAATGACTTTGATGTCCTCAAGCCTATTTATTATATTAGTAATTAGTATTAGACCTAGCCTTCGGAAGGTTGGAGCAGCAAGTAAGAACTCCGGAAACAAGAGATTACTCTTTTTTACAAGCAATAATAGTAGGGGTTTAATTCCATTTTTTACTAAAGTTTGAGAATATATTAAACCTTATGGATCCAACTTAAAATGCAAGCATTTGTTCCTTATGAACAACTAGGTCCGGGTGTTGCAATTTCTGATCTATCAAGTATTCATTTAGCAGCTCTGCTGAACAAGTTGTAAACCTGCTAAGATGATGATGATAATCAAAGTAGTTTCCCTTGGTCATATTGTTTCATGACTATGGTGAGAAATGAGAGTTATTTGTTACCTGCTTTGATGAAAGGCCAATCTTTTCCAGGTCACTTAGCTGCAAGAAGCCAAAAGCAGACTGCATCCAAACGGAGCTTTACAAATTTTAAAGGACTGTCATCTTCGATCCAATCCCCTATACCATATAAAAATTACAAAATAAATATTATAAAAGAAGGATAATAAAAATAAAAATAAAAACCTAAGCTGAACTGTATCGTTAGGCTCAGTAACTCTTCTCTTCAACTGCAAATACAATAGCCAATGAAGAAAATCAGTTTCACTTTTCACCAAATAAAAACAAAGACAATTGTTAATATACATACATGTAGGAAATGAAGTGAAATAAAACTGACCTCGCAGCGGTATTTAAGAACTCAATATGAAGTCAAATAAAACTGAACTCAATTTGCATCCTGTGCTTTGGCATACAGACAAAATTGTGGACATGGCCAAAGGCATTAGATCTGGCAGCTCTTTCTGTACCCTGCAACATTAAACATGTAATTCATCTCTTCACCATTAACATAATGGCACCCTAAAGACAAGTAATGTGAAGGAATAACAGAAGCTGAGCTGAACCATTCGCGAAATCAAAATTTTAATTGCAAGGATTAAGGGGTTTGAAAGATGGGACTTAGAAAAGGCCTTGTAATGAAATTTATTAATTTTAAAATCAAACCATGTATTAAAATACCTAAAGATTTAAACACTATACCATTTGGCTACAAAGCTCTGATAAAATCATGCAAATAGAGCTTGTCTTTTCACCATACATGCATGGTATAAGTTTTTCCATTACCATTAGCCCCATAAGCGAACACAGTGGCATTGAAGCCATGAAAGATTCCTGGAATCAAAGAATTCACTTCTCTGTATAATATACTTCTCACATTATCATCTTCTTGGTCAAAGGAGTCCAAATCCAATCTGTAACATTCATTTCGGCTACGATTCAACCCAAAAAAAAAAAAAAAAACCCAATATCAAAATCCAAAGAAATTTCCTTTGCTCAAACATCAACCTCCTCACCCCTCCCTCCCAAAAAACAGGAATCAATCCCTCACCTGGTATTATGATCTTTAAGATGAATAGAAACTTCATCAGAAGTGTCCTTATCTTGATGATCAAGAAGAAAAATGCAGGACTTCGAGTTGTCATTTCTTGCTGCAGCAATTTCTGGAGGAACAAAAATGACGGACTCTAACCACCGCCCTGACCTTAGAAATGATGGCTTGTTTCGAAGGACTTCATAATTTAACTCTTTGGGTTTCCATTAAAACAGAAGTTTTGGTAGTAAGAGGGAAAATTAGAGAAAGAGGGCGTGGACACGAGCAGTTGACAGACAACAGCTAACAAACGACGTTGTTAGTAAGATTTGACCGTTGGGAAGGTCAGCCTTTTCTTTTCCATTTGAATTTGTCTCTTCCGTTGGGGTTTGGCCCACCGTGATCCAAAATAAAAATTCTGGTAGTTTCCAACAAAGATAGAGGAAAATGAGAGGGCTCGAGTGCAAAGATCGGAACCGCATTCAGCAAATTACTTATAAGTTAAAGGATCTTTGAGCAAATTCTTTGGTAATTAAAAGGCGCCATTTTCCCGTTTGTTCTTCTTAATGGCGCAAAAAAAAAAAAAAAAAAAAACAATTTGAAAAATGGGCAACAACGTTTGATTTTTTTTCCCTGTTAGATATTTTATTCGAGAAGATAAAAAAAATATATAACATTGAGTGCTTAAATAATGTTATCACCATCATAAACTAGTTTTAGGAAAAGTATATATCTTGATGATAAACAATTTAGTTAGAGCTAAATCACATTAATACTCAATTGGATAACTAAATTAGCATGCAAATGGGAATAAAAAATGGCAGCATTAAAGCAAAAGGATCAAAGGTCTATTAAACATTTTCTTTCATTTCAGAACAAATGGGGATAATGAAAAAAAAAAAAATTTGAGAGGTGATCTTGACAACGAGATAGATGCGTTAGAAAATAGAAACCCTTTTGTCCTAATCTATTATTGAAGCCTAATAAGATAGTTATATTGACGGCATAGAACAGAACACAATGGAAAAGTGTTAGAAAATGCCAATATGACCAAGAAACGTAGATTAAAAATATCACCCTTTTGTTTTTTTTTTTTTTTTTTGTTTTTATATCAATTAATATTATCTTCCATCACCTTTTGTTCAAACTTCAAACCCCAAATTGTCAAACCAGTAAAACTTAAGAACCAAATTGTCCAATAAAAAGTTTAGTTAGATCAGAACTTCCTTAATTGTCAAAAGCTCCAAAACTTCTCACTTAAGCACAAATTAAATGAGATAAATTTTAAGTTATTTCGACTTAAATAAAGGATTAATTATTTGTTTTAGTGATTTAAATCAATAATTTCAATCGGTTAATAATTGGATCAATTAATATATTATTAGAATTGAACTTAAAAATTAAAAATTCTAAAAAATTTATATACATAATATTTTTTTCAATTAGATAAATATTAAGATAAAAAAATTTAAAGATAAATTAAAAACTTAAAAAAATTGACAATCTCAATTTTTTAATATATACTTTTATTTGAAGGAAAGAAATTTAGCCATGCTTTTTAAGAATTTACTATTTACTAGGTTACATTAAAAATTACGGGCAGTGAATTTGATCAAAAAAAGGACTTGTTTTCACAATCCAACGGTCCAAATTAAATAAAAAATAAAAAGCTTGTGATCAATTACTAACCGTTGATCTTATGAAGACTATCCGAGGTCAACATTAAACTCAGTTAAAAACGTATATTTCCATTTCGTCCCTTTTTAAACCTCGAACACCATTTCCCAATCCAACGGTCCAAAAACACCCGCGAAACCATTGCAGGATCGACCACACCCCAAACTCGTTCAACATTTAACCGCTTCGTGGGGCTTTTCCAAGCTCGAGTGCCGTTTGAGGTTCAAACCTTTGCCACCACCCCACCCCTAACGTTAACTTAAAACCGTTAACCGCCGTTAATGATAGGGCTTTGAAGAACTGAAATAAAAAAAAAAACCACGATAATTCTCCATAACGGCAGTTAACAGCGACGTCGGTGTGATATATTCGTTATAAAAACCCTTCACTGTAATATACTATTTTTTAATATTTATTTACCTTTTTGTGTTTTTCTCTCTCTTTGTTTCAACGGGCGACGATTTTTTGAAGCAAAGGAAACAACTTTTGGAGTTCCTTTTAACAAAGAAATAGTTTTTTGGTTTGGCTTGAAAAGGATTCTTCTTGAAGGAGCTGGAGCTTGATTCCCGCCACTCAGGTGGAGCTTCTTGAATCAGAATTCTTTGGTTTTTTTTTTGTGTTCTTTTGTCTTTTGATTTTCTTTTATTTATTTTCACTGTTTTGATCATGTTTCTTGAACCTCAAGTACCTTGGATTCGTTAAAATTTTTTTGTGTTTTTACCTTTTTTGGGGTTTTAAACCCTAGAATTATGTTTAAGTGATGTGGGATTTTGTTTGTTTCATTAGTTTTTTATCTGATTAGCGAATTTGAGATCTGGGTTTTGTCTTTTTCTGTGTTTGGCGGTGGTGGGATTGGAGATTTTGGTTAAAAGGTGGGATTTTAAGGGTTTGGAGTGGTCATGAATAAGTTATTAAAGGTTTTTCCTTTGTTTTGTTTGTTTGTTTGTTTTTTCTCTTTCTTAGTCTTTTTGTTGATTATGATTATGGGGTTTTGGAGATGATTGTAGAAAGAGATGATTGAGTTAAATATAGAGGGATGTTGTCTTGAGAATAAACAATTAACCACCGGATCAAGTTCTTCTGTATCCGAAGGCGGTGGCAGTGCAGTTGTAAAGTCCCCAGGCATATCTAGTCCAGCATCAACATCACCAAATCATCGGTACTGTGTCTTAATAACTTCTTCAGCTTTTTTTTGTTTTTTTTTTTTCTGCGTATAGCTCAACTTGCTTCATAATATGGTAGTTCTTTGCAACAGAATTGGGGTTGGATTGTTGGGTTAAATGTAGTGTTTGGGTTCTGCTGATTTTGCTTTTACTTTTTCACACTTTTGTTTTTTGGTCGAGTTTATGATTGCTGATTACATTAGATGTGGGTGCACCAATAGAGATTGTTGATCATTTCTTTCTAGTGCTCAAACTTGTCGATTAACCAATTTGCATCAAGTTTTATTATTTTGAACCAATGTTTCTGCCAGCTGAGAGGAATTGTGTAATAATGAATTTGCAGGAGGACTACCGGCCCTATTAGACGAGCAAAAGGTGGCTGGACACCAGAGGAGGTAAATCATTTTTTCCCTTTGTATTTGCATTAATTTATACGAATTAGTATCTGGATAAAATGCTTCTTTTATTTATATCCTATCATTTGGTTAGATTAGATAATCATTGTGAAATGTGAAGTTAGTCCAGGTGAGTTGTTAATCATCTCGCATGCATTCTAGAACTATTGAAGTTTCATTCAGTGTTTGCTCATGATCATTCTTTGAAGCTGTTTTTTAACATCGTTTCTGGTTGCAGGATGAGACATTAAGAAATGCTGTTGCAGCATTTAAGGGGAAGAGTTGGAAAAAAATAGGTTTCCTTCATTCCTTAGATTTTGCTTATTTGTCTATCTACTGGCTGTTTTTCCCAATGTGACAAATCTGATATGACTTTTTTTTTTTTTTCGTTAGAAGTTATTATATCCTATCTATGTTGTCTGACAAAAAATAAACTTAAGGTGATAAATAAAGTAGAAAATCATCATCTCAACCTTTTCACTTGTTGTAAGCTTTCTATTTGAAGTCCTGTAACTGGTCTCTTAATGTTGGCATATGCTTGTGCAGCTGAATTTTTTCCAGATAGATCAGAAGTGCAATGTCTACATAGATGGCAGAAGGTCCTAAACCCTGATCTTGTTAAAGGACCTTGGACTCAAGAGGTAGGCATTTTAGGCTCTTTCTTTTATGCTATCTATGTTTGCAGTTCATAAACAAGCATTAAATTTTCGGTTGCATTTTTTTTTCAGGAGGATGATAAAATTATTGAACTTGTAGCAAAATATGGGCCCACAAAATGGTCTGTTATTGCAAAATCTTTGCCTGGACGAATAGGGAAACAATGCCGCGAGAGGTAATTTCTTAAATTTTATTTCTTGTTATTTGCATTCCCTGAGGTCCTTAAAGTGCTGGATATATAAACGTTGATATGATTTTCCCACACTTAAAATGATTGCCTGCCTTTTTCTTTTATTTGTATATTAAGTAAATTATGTACTAAAGTTTATTGACTAAGTTTTGTATAATGAGGCTATTGATATTGTTGATTTTTTTTATAATCCACTTTGGTGTCCAAATCTATTCATGTAAAGCAAATGAATGGGTTGATTATTCCATGCTTAATCAATGTTCTGCAGATGGCACAATCATTTGAATCCTGATATAAAGAAGGAAGCTTGGACGTTAGAGGAGGAGTTGGCTCTTATGAATGCACATCGGATATATGGGAACAAGTGGGCCGAAATTGCTAAAGTTTTACCTGGAAGGTATCATTCTTTTCTAGTTTATAACACATGTTACATAGTTCGAGTTCTAAAGTTTAGTCCACCATAGTTGACAAAAGAGATGTTGGTAAATTATTTTGAAATGCCATTTGAAGCGTTTGCAATAGCATGCTAGCTCTAGCTTATAGTGAAGTTTGTTTATGCAGGACTGATAATGCAATAAAGAATCACTGGAATAGTTCCTTGAAGAAGAAGCTAGATTTCTATTTGGCTACAGGGAAGCTTCCACCAGTTGCGAAGAATGGTCTTCAAAATGGTACTAAGGATATAAATAGACCTGCTGCAACCAAAAATTTGCTCGTTTGTTCAAAAAAAGAATCAGATTCAACTGCTCAAACATCATCTGGAACTACTGATATATGCAAACCAGAGGAGGATGGAAGAGATCAATTGCAGAATGAGACTAAGGATATAAATACACCTACTGCGACAAAAAATTTGCTCATTTTTTCAAAAAAAGAATCAGATTCAACTGCCCAAACATCATCTGGAACTACTATATGTAAGCCAGAGGAAGATGGAAAAGATCAGTTGGAGTCCTCTGCTCCAGTTCAAGATATGGCTGCTTCATCAAGTGTTATTCCAAATGAGTCTGCTGATACTGAAAGTGCAGAGTGCAAGCCTTGGTCATTTGATGCAAATCCCTGCTGCTGTAACTCAGTGTCAGGAGCAAAGTTTGAGAGTCGTAGAACCAGCTCTCAAATTGTTGAAGACAAAGTTGTTGAGACACAAGTAGGGCATGATACTCCAACTTATGAGCCACCTAGGTTAGAAGGTGGTACTTCATTAGATTCAGATAATTTAAACAAGAAAGGCATGCAGCATGAGTGGACCTCTACTCCTATCACATCACCCATTAGCTTCTTCACTCCGCCTTGTGTGAAGGGAAGTGGTTTAAGTGCATACAGTCCTGAGTCTATTCTTAGAATTGCTGCTAAGAGCTTCCCAAATACACCTTCTATATTTCGAAAGAGAAAGACAGGAACTCAATCACTTACGTTTCCTAATAAAATAGAAAATATGAATGAGGAAACTATTAAGGATAGGATTCAATTATCTGGTGAACAGGAAAGAACTGAAAATAGTCTGGAACGGGCTCAATTTCGTGATGGAGATTCATGTGAGAGTCCTGCTTCTCAAGGCAATAGCGGCATTGAGCCTAATTGTACAGCGTTTAATGCATCTCCTCCATACCGGTTAAGATGTAAAAGAACTGCTGTTTTCAAGTCTGTGGAGAGACAACTTGAGTTGACATTTGATAAAGAGAGGCATCAAGATATAATACAAAATCTTCGGATCTATCAGTGAATGGTAGCTCGCTTATTGAAGATTGCTTGCATGCAACGAAGATGGGGGTCACATAGGGCTTAAACTGTAAGTTATGGTGTTGCATTTCCTTTTTTGAAGTCTGTTCAATCTTTGCTCAAAAACACAACAAATTTCCCGTAGTTTTCTACATTGATTATAAGTCAGTTGTGTTCATGCTTAGGATGAAACATCTGGAACTCCCTCCAAACTTGACTATGGATTAAACTATCACAATCAACATTATCAATACTGAAACTTTGCAATCACCATATACACAGAATCATGTTTTTCTATCTAGTAACATTTTGCTCTCTCGTTCAAGTTATCTACTCAATTCTCTATGGCCTTACCAGCGATATCAAACTAAAGATGTAACAATTCTCATTTATTTTGTTCTCATTTATTTCATTCTTATAGGATGAGGCGAACATTCTCTTGAAGAAGTTGGCTCTGTGTTTCCTCAGCAATGGCATCCGAATTTGCAATCCCAGCAGAGTTGGAAAATTGACGTAGTTGTAATATTCTTCAATGCCATTGCTCAATCTTCTTGCAGATATGGTAATTGACACCAGTCATGATAACATCAAGCCATCATGGACAACCGATATACGCTTAAATCCATTTTGAAGAACGTTGATTGACTATTTTTATAGTGTGTCTCATTTGAAAGGAAAGAAGTATTGCTTGATAAATCTCAAATATGAGAGGTGTCTCCAATAGAATGTTTTAAGCAGAGATTACTACAAAAACAATCTGTATTTAAAAGGGTTTTTGAGTCTTACTTTGTCATCCTTTTTCCACATTTGAATAGAAAATTCCCTGATACATTCTTCTTCAATCCATGCAAGTTGATTCTCTTGCCTAATTATCCTGTTATTTTTTTAGTGAGTCATCTACCAACTTTCATTCTTCAAATCTTAGCTTGAACTTTGTTTAGTCCAACAAAAAAAAAAAAAGATCAGAAAATGAATTGAAACTAAAATTCCTTACATCAAGAGAAATTGAGCTCCATGGGTCATACTACGTGTGAACTGTTATGGTTCAGTTGTAGCCATCGATTTAACCAGAAACATTAATGGAAGAGCTGCTGCCCGTTGAAAATGTTCCAACTATTTACATGCCCATAAAAATGAGAGATTTAAACGCTTTACATTAAAGACTATATATAGTTGCTCCACTTTCCCGAGATGAAAATGGACGCTCATGAAACCCCAACCCTAGCGAACAAAGGAAAGAAAAGAATGAGAAAAACAAAAGTCCAGAAAAAATCAAGCTGAATGCCACAAGCTGATCAACTGAAGATGCGTGGGTCAAAGGCTTGAGGCTCTGTGCAACGGGTTCTTCAATCTAACTGTAAATCCATAGCATACGAAACACGGAAGAGAATAGCAAAATCCGCCATACCAAAAAAGAAAAGCAAAGAAATTGGTTGAGACATGAAATCAACCCTTGATGGCTTCTAGTAACTTAACCCATACCTGTCTAACAAAAACGAAGAGAGACCAATTTAACGAGACAATCTAGTAAAACTTATAACTTATAGATCAATTTTCATTAACATCTTCTCTGTTCCTCGGAGAAAGATACACAATGACAAAAATGCACTCAAATGATTCTATAACTCAAAAGAACTAAAGAAGAAGAGGCAATAACACAAATAAAGTTCCACTAAACTGACCTCACTACCTGTATGTCCAGCCATAATGGTCACATATGCCAACTTCAAAATCCAAGATCCCTGACTAGGTTTGCACAATAATTTATGGATACTGGCAACCTTCAGTTTTGTAGATTCATTTTCTAGTCCAATTCAAATGCATCACCACCTAAAATCCAGATAATATTTAGCCAACATGAACAAGAATATTCATGATTGCTAGCAAATAGAAAAATAAAAGAAGCATAAGGTGAAAACACCACCTTGATCATGAAACCAAACTAAACCATGAAGAAGGTACCAATGGTAGTTTGGCCGAGAACCTTTGAACTCTGATCAAGGCCATGAGAAGCAACCTATTAAAGAGTGAAAATAGATTATTATGAATATCATAAAATAAAAAACAACCTCCAGTGTCATGGACAAAAAAAAAAAATCCCAAATCACCATGTAAGTTAGAGCAGCATAGCGTTCCTCATTCAGGTACAGTGGTTTTCCTCTTAGCATTTCAATATCCTGAAATAAGAAAATGATGTAGAATAACACAAATAGATCACGAGAAAACCTTTCATATGATATGAAAGCACAGAAAGACAATGAAAAGCAATTGTGTAGACATTTAAATTTTAAAGATTCACTGCCGTATCATGCCAACCATATGGAATTCAAATTAAGATATCTAATATCTCATAGAAGTTTCAAACAAATAAATTATTTCTAAAGAGCACTTAAAGCTTCTATATATCTTTTTTACTTAAAGCTTCTATGTATCTTTTTTACTGTAAGGAAAATAAGTCGGCTCCAGAATTTCTAACATTTTGATAAGTTCAATCAAGTTTAAAAATAAATTGACACAGAGTATTAAGTAGATTAGCCTTTAATAATAATCAATCATTCAAAATTTCCGAAGTCCCGTAGCTTTGAATTGTAACCACAGGGGAATTAAAGTGGATCCTTGATTGAAGAATATTGAGGTAGGCAGGGTGAGATTATGCACCCCCCCTCCCTTGGGGCTCAAGAAAAAACCTATCGTTCATGGTCAGTAGTAATATCTAATGTTATTTTGTCAAATCAATTATTTGAATTTCTTTCAGGGTAGAAAACTCTTTCCATAAAAGGGTGTTCTCCAGATTATAGAATAAAATCGCCCAATTTCCTCTGTGCTTTGTGGGATATTTGACTCTAATAGTTGCATGGAACCTTCATGCCATCCTGACTTATTCTCCCATTAACTTCATTTTACATTTAGCAAACTGCTCAAAAGGATTACTTTAAGATGAAGACAAATCCGAGATAGTCACTGTCCGCAGGTACGAAATTTTCATTCCTGCTCAATGAGCCAACATTGTCTCAATCACCAAAGCAACTCTAAGCCTGAAATAAGTATTAGAAACTCAGGCACAGTAAATGCTAAACTGCTATTTCTATAATCTCTTTAACTTGTAACAATTAGCAAGGTCCAAAAAGGCTCATGAACTTTCCCAACTTAGTACATCAAGGCCCTTATGTGGTTGGTACCCGTAACAATCATAACCATCCTTTGCAGGTATACGTGTACGGAAGGCTGAAAGTGCAATATGTCTGATCCTATAACACTCATAGTAATCAATATTTTATTTGTTTCATCCTCGAGTCTCCAAACTACATGATTGATACAAACTTTGCTAATAGAAAGAAAATGCTTTACCTCTTCACCAAATGCATCCAAATATGGAGAAGGCCAAGGGGCTTGACGTGCACATCTTTGTAGCAAGATTGTTGTTCTCTATTACAACAACAAAGACCATTAGCCATTTCATGAAATATTAGGTAAATGTTCCAGGCAAAAACTGGGAGATCAATACCCTTATCAACAGAAATACACCAATACCAGCACCACAGGTCATTGCATGAGCTGTGCATCCACTCTCCCTAGTATAGATCATTGAAGAAAAAGGTCAGTACTTTAGATTCAGTATAGAATCTTAACAATGTGAATACAGGAAATGCACATGTTAAGCACAAAATCAGCAACCGAAAGGAAAGTTGAACATTAACCTGCAGCATGGATTCCAACTTCGTGAACATAATCTACCACACAACAAGCATAATGCAGGCTCATCAAGCCCAGCTTTGCAGTCAGGGCAACACTGCTTTATATACCTGTTGAAACACACATATATTCTCATGAATTAAGATATTCTTGAAAGAGGACCAATATCAGCATATCTAAGGACGGATTTTGTAACAAACCTTTGCAAAAGGTCTTGATAAACATGAGGCAGGCTCATCAACTTAAATGGAATTGCAGGATTGCAGTAGAAAACATTTTGGAAACTACAGGCTTCATATACCTTGTGGAAGTGACGAAACCATTTTAATGCAAAAGATCGTGAGACTTCATCCTCAAGAACAACATCTATAGGAGGAATCTTAAACATCTTCTCTAGTTCTTGTACTTCATTGAGCTCCACTGAAGTACTTTCAGTTGTATCCATCATATCAGTTGTCACATTAGAAGACTCCCACACATCATCCCTATCAAAGAATGGTGCTGGGACGGAAGACTTAAGCAATTTCCACAACAATGCACATCTCCGCAAGTAAGGAAAACTCAATCTTCGAATCATATCTTTAATATCACAAGAATGCTTGACATCATTTGATACAAAATACCAGCTAGCTAAATCAGATCCTCCAAGAATGCCATAGATATCAGTAATTAGGTTATGATGGGAAGCTAACTCATTGATGTTATAACCATGTCCCCGACAACATATAATTAAAGCCTGAAATCAGCATATCAAGTTCAGAAATGTTGTAATGCCAAATTAGAGTAATTAATAGTTCTGTTTATAGAAAATGAGAGCTTGGAGGAAAATTTTATACAGAAAATATCATCTTTTGAAACAAATCACTAAAAGAAAACATCTTCTATTGTTTGGATAAAACCATTAAATATCTCCCTAAAAGTTTAGAAGTATCAATGTTTCTTCATATTGTTTCATTTGGCCAGAACATTGTCCATGACCAAATTTTCTTGTTCATATCAGACATCAGAAAATCCAAAAAAATATAGCAGTTTAAATAGACCAAAGGAACCTATATGAAGAGAGATAGTGGCAAACCTGAACCACAGAGACAACATAGAAGATATGCACAAGGGATAACAGGGACTCCTCACATGAGATAAATGGGCAAGGAAGACAGAAGAGAAGCCACATCAATGATGAGAAAGGGTCACGAGCAAGAACAGGATCAGATGCACGATTCCAAAATTGAATATCAGGATAAAATGCTTCCTTATCATCATGTTTAAAGATTCGAAGGAGATGGTCTGTCAACATACAATCAGGAGCCCAACATTTATACCAAAAGAATCCAAAACTAAGACAACTTATCTGCTGTTTGATAATTGTATATGCACTAATGCCAAAGATAATAACACCTACCCACCCACCCACATATATATAGTAATGCTGCTCCTTTTATTGACTTGTTTAAAGAAACGTTCTCTCCCTCTCTCTCTCTCTCTCTCTCTCTCTCATCCCTCCATCCCTCTTGTTGTCGGTTAAGTAGAAAAAAATGTTGTTTCATTAGCATGAGTGGAAAATTGTACCATTTTAGTTCAGTTTTAGCATGACCTACTTAGATTTATTTGTGATTCACAAACCATCACAAGACCAGAATAAATCCTTCATAACATATCTGGAGTTTATGAATAACTTACTTGGATAGCCATGATTTCTATTTTTAAATATGTCTACAACCTCAAGTAAATCTCAAAGCAATAAACAGCGAAAATCATACCTTCTTGTTTATGTCTGGTGCCGTGGTAATCAAAGGAAACCCCAGAGCAAATAGAATCTGCAAACAGTTGAAGACCTCTAAATCTTTGAAGAGCATGAAGAGAATTTGTACTGCTCAGGTTCTGGACAACTCTTAGCAATAAGGAAAATATAAATTCACTAGAAGGTTTAAATTCTTTATACAAAGAAGTAAGAGTAGAATTTGTGGCCATAGAAGTCTTTCCACTGCGAGAAGCAATTTCTGTTGACATAAGAGAATAATTAAGAGTATCCCATAAAATTATTGGGTGGCTTAACCTTGAAGATCCTAAGAACCTATCCTGCTTTTTTGAAAAATACATTTTAGACAGCACACGAGATATAGGTTCCAGATCCCAACTTGTTCTTTCTTTTCTTTGAAGAGAAAGAGCTTCAAAGAAATCAGGCCTCCAAACCACCTTCGCAGCAGTTTTTAGAAGAGATAAACCTTGCTGAAGCAGAAGGGAACAGATTTCTTTGTTTGGTACAGATGGAGGACCTAAAGCAGGCACATGATCAACAGTTGAAGTCATAGGCTGCCTTCCAGCCTTTTGGAAAGTCCCATTCACTGCAGGCAAGACAGAATTTGCTAGTCGACGACACACAGGACAAAGAAACTCTCCCTGACAAAGCAAACAAGTAATAGATCAACATCAAATGTAAGATAAGGATTTTGCAGAAGAATAATTTTTGTGAAGCATGTACCTGATCAGGATCCACAATATGTGCCCCCTCAAAGAAACTTCTTCGGACATTTCTGTAACCACAGAACAAGAAGATATCTTAAGCACTTTCATGCAAGAGCACTTCTATGCAAGCACATGCATGGACAGACACATAACAACCATTTACAGTTTCAAAGTTAAAGGGCATTTCTGCGACTTGTGGTTCCTTGTTAAATGAAATTACAAATAAAATTCCAAACCCATCAAAATCATAACCTCAAGATTCCTCGAGATGTTTTCAGGGTTCAGCTAACAGAATTCACAGAGGTTGAAATTAACCCAGGCTACAAAGGTAGGTTCAAGATGTTTGAGCATTTAAAGGCTCACAAATGCCTTACCTGTCACTTGAAATATGATATTCCTTCAAATAAAAACCTTTTAACTTTGACCACGCTTATACAGTATCTTTATTTTCTTTAATTCCTACAATGGTCCATCACATATTTTCATCTCATAACACAGTTAGATAACCATTATTCCTTGATCCCTTTTAAATGCAACGTATAAAAGCACAATATCTTGCCACACATTTTTTGATCTGATAAATAACTCAAATGCAATTGAAAATTACAAATCACAACAAAATCACAGGTAAACTTTCACCATTTTTACTCTTGTGCATTGAGTCCTGACTTTGGAACTAAATTTAGGTTTTACATGATTCCTGCTCCAAAGCCCTTAATCCTTGCAATTATGTTAACTACGAATAGAAATCAATTGTGACTGATTAGTTTGTGAACACATTTTGAGGTTTCAATAGAGCAATCCCTTCACAAAAGGACCATATGAAGTCCAAAACAAAGAACAAAGTATAAGTTCAAACCGCATAATTGCTGTAAGAAAGATCAATCATATATGGTTACATGAGTGTTCAAATTTAATCTCTTGCTGACGTTCAGAATTATGTTGAAAGAAATATGCAAACCTATCTAATAAGAATTAAAAATGGTCCTTTTTAAGAAGACTTACCTTTCCTTCAGAGATGATAAATAGCGCTCAAGACAATCCTGATGTACAGCATGCCCACAGGAAGAAAGATAAATTCCATCATAATCTAACAGGCCACATCCATCATAATCTAACAGGCCAAATCCATCATCAACAAGAGGCTGTGAGGCAGATTCTGTCAACTCTCTATCACCATCAGTGTTTTCAGTACCCAAAGAGTTTTCACTTGTCTCACTTGAAAGTGCAACAACATATTTTCCAGCATCCCTGCTGCTTTCTGGAGAACTTTCAGTAGCAGAGGATACATCATCCTTTTTAGAGCTTGAGCTTAACAAAGTATCACACATTTCTTTATGAATACATATGTACATATCTTCTTCCAGTGTCTCCAAATTATAGACAGTACTGTCCCTCACATCACTAGCTGTGAAAGGTGCTTGAATGCTCCTCACCGAAGGAAACTGAGACTTGACAAACTCAAGAATGACATTTACTTCACTGCGCTGCCCTTGCCCATTATTGGTAGACTCAACAACTGGATTATCAGTCAACTGCACCATCTGAGAAGCCAATCCTGAGCTGCTGGAAGAGGCATTCGATCCAGACTGATCGGTCACCCTATTTGTGGAAATAGAACCTTGCTCCTTGTCTGAACATTGATCCCATGATGAGGGACCTCTATCAACGAAGCTCAAAAGCCTAGATTTCTTTTTTCAAGAAAAATAAAATGTTAATTTTTGCAGGAAACAGAAAAGAAGATTCTATTTGTCTCAAGTGATGGGTAACTTAAAGACTAATCACTCACTTGGAGAAGAATCAAGAAAGAAACAGGATTTTTGGAAGTAGGATCATGGCAAAGAGAGCAACTCTGTTGCATAGCGCCTTCTGCTTTATGTTCAGTGTCAGAATTAGACATTTCTGCTTCGGACTTCAAATCGTCATCAGCAATGGAAGTGATGCTTGACAAAAATTTGGATTGCTCTGCTTTCATTTTAGCCTGCAGGAAAAATTACAGAATACAGAAATTATTCAACCTTGCAGACTCTCTAATACACTGAGATTATGTTCCATTTTAGTCCAACTTCCACAATTTGATTAGCTCCATAATGACCAAAATACAGCAGTGTGGAATTGGCACAGTTAAAGGGTGCCATTCAGTTTGTTAATCAATAGTCAGACAATGCACCTAGCACTTAAATGCAGGATGATGTTGGCACAGTTAAAGGTTGCTATTCACTTTGTTAATCAATAGTCAGGCAATGCACCCAGCACTTAAATGCAGGTAACTGTCTAGTTAGCATGTAATACAGAATTCTCACCAGGCCAGTAAATAAATGATACATGACATAAACCAATGAGTGGCAATCCCCCATAATGAGGAGAAACCAAAACCACTTATATGAGAATCCCAGATTCAGAAGAGAGATATTGGCCTCTGACTTAAATGATCCTCATTTTAGAGGAAATCACAAATGATATTTTACACAATCTATGAAAGAGCCTTTGTAATTAATGTTAGTTGAGGAGCAAATTGTTAAAAACCAAGATTCTTTAGGTGTTTGACCTGCACCCTACTAGAATTTTTCAAGATTGCGTCACTCTCACTTCAAATGCACTTCAATGTTTATCCTATTCCACTTATGATTACGATATTATCCATTGAAATTGAATTATATACATTTCTCTATCGAAGCTACCTCTCATTTTTATTCTTAACATAAATTCACACATAATTCTAAGGCAAAATCTCACCAATATGGCAGCTTGTCTTTCGCGAGCTTTTGCCTTGCTCATCTCACTATCAGAAGCTGAACCAGATGCACTCCTATCACTATTAGGAGTAGATTTTGGCAGATGGCTGACCACTTCAGGTGCAAGTTGTTGCAGTTTGGTCATGCACTGGGAATCAACTTCAGCAAACTTCTTCAATAAACTTTCAATCAGAGGAGAAAAACTGCAGTTGCTGGATCCCATATAGCTGTTGTGGTTCTCTTGCCAATGCATTCTCATTAATGCAACAAGAAGTGATAACAAACTCTGTTTGCCAGCAGCATGGTTTAATGATTCAGTAATTTCTTCACCAGCAAAAGTTAGCAAATAATTTGAGTCTCCAATATGATGTTCCACACCACTAGATCCATTCTGCTGCAAATAAATGTCTAATGCTAATGAAAGTAAGTGCAATGCTGTCATAAGGGTACCATCAGGAGCCCGTGATTCAGTAAATTTATTGGTGAAAACAGCATAAAATAACACTGCATGAATAATCTGAAGTGTCACTTGGCATGTAGCGATTCTAGCGATTCCCTCGAGAGGAGAATATATTTTTGTCCACCTAGGCAGCTGAGTAGTCATTGCAGAGACACCACAGAAACGCAAGTATCTTTCTTCTGCAACTTGCAAATCCCTCGAGTTCCAACGAGGGTGGTACAAATCCAGCTCCTTCCAATACGCCCATCGCAATGAATACATTCCCTGACATACATCAATATTAAGAAATATTAACTAATCAAACTCTTTTGTCAACCCATAAACATTGAAAGGATATTTCAGACCACAAACCCCAACCTGATTAAAGCCCGATGGACTAGAGTATACAGCAACCCTATCTAAAATTTCTTGAAGCTGGTCAAGCTTAGAAAGCTCGCGAGGTAAAGATTTCACTAGTTCACTATGAGTGGCATCCCCAATCGCTAACTTATAAATCAACTCTCTTTTCAGACTGTCAGCTGTATTGCGTCCACAGAATCGCCTTTCTTGTAAAATTTGCATGATTAAAGTGAGCATTTCCTGAACGAGAACTGGCTCGTACCTGAACGACAATATCACATTACATCAAACATGAATTCAGAATCTCATAATTAAGGGTGTATGGTGTGCATGGGAATGAGAATGCCATCTTTGCTACTTGATTTTGCTGTCCAAAGCAAAAGGTAACATTTGGACATAAAAGGTAACAAAAGTAAAAAAAATTAACTTTTATGAATAGCAAAAAGAATAATTTAACTCTTAACAAGGATCCATCATGCTCTCATTGGAGTTATATATCAGAAATATAATTTTGCTTTTTGCTATTTACTTTTACTTTTTAGCGAAGTTTGAGAAAGTAAAATGTAGGCACCAAAAGCAAGTAGCAAAAGTGGCAACAAAGGCAAGCCTTAAATTTCCTAATAAATTGGTGCATCCAGTCCTCAAAGATATCCATTCAAATGGACAATCCAAGAAAGCTTGGACCAAACTAACAAAAGATATTTCCATTACGAGTAACATGGTCAATTATATCTACCAGTAAATAGAATGAACCATGCTACCCGTATTCAAGCACACAGATTTCTAGTCACTCATGGAATGTGTTAAAAGTAACTAAATGAAATTAAAAGCATTTCAATACTATAAAGTAGAAGTTAAAGGGATAAATACATACTCATTTGATCTTTCAAGACTTAGAGAAAGGTAGTCTAATAGACCAAAGCGCTCTAGAATTCTCTTGACATAGAGATCAGGAGGAGCTAGTGCAGCACAGCACTGCAGCAAAAATAAATCAAGCTCCAAAACTTGTTCAGACCTGCAAGTAAAGAAAATCAGAAAGAACTTGGCAACTAAAAAATGGTAACTTAGAGGGGAACTTTTCCCGGCTACATACATTCAACAAATGAAGTACAATGTCCTACCAGCGGATAGAGCGATACCACTCACAAGATACGATGGCAGCATCCCCATTCTTCCTCCACATCCCAGCAATAACTTGAGCACAAAATACCCTAATCCGTAAGGGATGCTCCATAACAGAGGCAGAGAACCCAAAAGGATGGCAGCCCCTAAGGACATGGCCAAAGAAATCTGCATAAATTGCTGGTAATGAACTTGCCGAACAAGCATTTGTTATATTTGCCATTACAGATTCATCATAACACATTCTTAATGCCTTCTGCAGAAGCAAGGAAAGTAATCGATGTAATGGAATGTGAACAGATATCTCTTGCGAACTAACATCATAAATAATATCAGGCCATTCATAAAAACTCAAAACACGTAGAGTAGCTAGTCCTGGGCCACTGTCTGTCTCCATGGCACTGACATCCAAACCCATACAACAGCATGCAACTGGATCAATTTCAGCTGAAGAGCTTTTACCGTCTGAGCCTATATTTTTGACAATCTCCATGTCATCACTTGCTTGATGGCCACTATATACAGGTGAAGAAGATTGTGAGCTCTGATTTTCACTTGAACCAGTTAGTTTATCAAAATATTTGCCATTCCTAATTTTATATAATGTTTTCTTTATAGCTAAAAATTTTCTATTAGAAATGCCACTATTATTTGGAGAAGATATACTCTGAAGAACTGCAGAGGTACCGTCATCAACTTCAAACCAAGTCTCCATAGCCCTTAAGCACTCCTGTATCAACCAGATGACAGAGGAAGGAATTAAAAGATAATATACGGAATCATATCCAACTTCGGTAACCTTTGACACACTCCTTTCTGTTACACTACAAACAGAACTCTCTTGGGATAGCCTTCCTACTTTTGCATGCCTCATGCTATCTCCATCATCCACATCTTGCTTATAAGTATAAGAAAAAATATTTGCCCCTTCACTTGAGGCAACAGAAAATGCCCCATCTACCAAAAGGGAGTGAAGATTGGCAATAGAACGGTCTAAAACAAAAAGCAAATGCATAGACTCATTTTCTTCTTCAATATGTAGGCCAGTTTCCCTCTTTATAGGGTTCATTCCTTGCACAAAAGCCAAAAGCTTTAGCCACCTTCTTGAGATGTCCTGCTGCTCATGGGTTGCATATTTGGAGACTACATCATGGCTCATAACAAACTGAATATCTCCAATCACACGGTCAGTGGTGTCAAACAAACTTCCCCACTTAACAGCCTGCAAAAGAACAAAACACCAACTTTATGTAGGCCATTAAAACTTTTAATGCATTATTATTAAAATATATATTCTTCAATAACCATTTTCAGGAGTTATTGTTTTCATTGCTATAACCCAAATGACATAGAATGTGAGTAAACCTCATCACTAGTAGGCTCTATTCTTTTTTTTATGCCAAAATTGTATAACAATCTGAATTATGCTAATTCAGTATACATATATATAACAAGCGTTACTTAAGTTGATTATCATTCTTTAGAATAAAAGTAAATTTAATTCAATAATTGACCTACAAACCAACTTTACTTGCATATGACCTTTTAGCATCAAGTATGGCTAAAAAATAGCAAATTTTTGTAGAATTACTTGGTTCAATAATATTTTACCATTGACCAACTTACATATTTTACTCATATATGACCTACATACCTATTTTACTGTCAAACCAAACACAATAACTCTTGATGCAGACCAAAACCTAAGCCCAAGACCAGGGCCAGGAATTGACATGTAGACATCTTCATTTACAATCAAAACCTAAATATTATCATAAAGATTAAATAACAGTTCATGCATGTCACAAACATAGAGATTGTCTTTGTCTTCTCTATGCCACAGAAACTCAAGTTTTTCTAGCATTTTCTCCTAGAATAGAAGGCATAAGAATGAAAAACATGAGGTGCACTATAGCAATACGCTCACAAGACTGAACTACTCTAGTATAACTTTAGTTTTTAGAGTCAACACAAATGGAATTACATGCTTATCTAAGAAGCCAATCATGAAGCTCATCTCAACATGTGAACAAATAATTAAAAAATTAGAATTAATTAGGAAGGCCGCAAAGGAGCTATGTCCTTGAGCAATTGTAGCCCAGTTCATAAAAGGAAACAAGAATAATTGTAATTACCTGCAAACGGCCATCCTCCCGAGCACAAGAAAGAAAAATGTCTCCCAAGCATTTCAGTAGCATGTCCAATAGGTTCATCTCCTTCACAAGACGAGGAGTTAGGGTTGGCACTGTGAAGATTTGGACAGAGAAAGTTGAGATTAGTGGATATTTATTGTTGAGAATGTTGTCACTTCCCTCTTTTATGGCTTCATTTATAACGGTAGGGTAATAACTTGAAAATACTTTAGAAAATTCATTTTTGAAGATAGGCTCTGCCAGCAATCTCAGCAGCATTTCATGGAGTTTCTTCGTAACACCATCGCCTAAGAACCTCTCTGCTCTAACCAGAATATCCAATAAACCACCTAAAGAAATCACCCTCCTAGACACAAAACTGAGCAAACTCTCACTATACTTGCAAAATTCTAAGAGCATCTCAACAACCACATGTGTTAGCTCATTTGCAACCTTCCTCTGCCCAGCACCACGATCACTTGCTCTCATATTTTCTTGAAAGAAACCTTCTGCTGCGAACAGCTTGTTTTTCCAACAAATAAAGAGTGCATCAAGCACTGGCCCAACAGAATTTGCATAGTTCTCAGGAAGTGGTTGAATCTGTTCAGAACCCTTATGCTTCGAGCAAAACCCCTCACGTTTCCATGCCGTTTCATCCCCACAATCACAGCAACCACCACCTGTATAAATAATGGAATAATCATGATCCTTATGATTCCCATTCTGGAAACAAGTAACACAAATAGCACAAGTCGGATCATGCTCACACGTCCGGCATGTATATGCAACATCATTTAATCCCCAAACCGCACCACAAACACCACGTTGACTGATACTCAATTGTGCCAGGTTTTTCAAAGCATTCATCGGCTCACCCTGAAACATCAGCCACTGCAACCCAACCATACTCTCACGAAACCGATTTTTCATAGTTAGAGACATCAATGACTTAGAACTTGACCTAGCATCTTGAAAAGATTCTGCCACTTCCCCATTCGTAGGTAAGATTGCCAAAACTACCTCAGGCAACAATAATCGATTATCCATAACAAAATCAACTATCCCCTCATAATGCCTGTCGAGGTACTCCATTGGAATCCCTAAAGCAGCTAGCCTCTGATTACATCAATAAAACTTTTTTTTCAGATATTAAATCCAATATTAACCAATTCACATGCTGATGATTGCAAATGCAGAGATAAAGATGAATTAGCAAAATATGCAGGAACGTAAATAACTGGACAGCAACACATGCTGAGAAGTTAAAGAAAAAAAAATCTTCAACATTTTCAAATTTAACCTAATTGAGTAGTTAGAATAAATAAATAAAATGAGCATACCCGTACGACTCGATCACGGGGCCTAATCGGCGAAGAGTCGGTAGGCGATTCCATTTTATGACGGAAAATTAAATGGCAAAAACGAAGCAACCAATCGGCGCAAGACAAACACGGCCCTAATCTGGAGCCTTCTTCACTCCCCAGGTTTACTTCTATGATTTTGATCAAATTTGAAAATTTCCAAAGAAAACGCCTGATTTCACAAGTCCTGAATCATTCCCAATTCCCAGTCATCTCACAACTCCCAGTCATCTCACAACTCGTTCACTATCGGTGGTGCAATGAACCAAACTGGCCCTTCGGTTCCTTTCAATTGTTATAATTTTTAATATATATAAATAAATACATCTCTCTCACCCCTGGCTTAACTTTCTCTCATTTAAGTTTGATATGGCGGTGGCACAAGATTTTCTGGAATAATCTTTGGAAGGATAGCGTGTTCTTGTTGTTCTCTGTTTGGATAATAACCTCAAGAGCTTGATAGATAATTGCGTACAAACCCAACAAAAAAAAAAATAGTATTTCCCTTCTTTTGTTTTTTTAATTTTTAATTTTATTATTTAATTCATGCTATTCGACAATTAACAATTTAAAACATATACGATATAAAAATAATATAACTAAAAAATATAAAAATAACATAATTTAAAATTTAAAAAATTTAAAAAAATTAAATAAAATTAAAATATTATATTTTATAAATAAATTATAATATATAATTTTTATATAAAACATAATATAAATATAACATTTTACTCGTACCAAAATTTGACTTACTTCGTGGAGTCATGGTCTGTTGATTGATGGGATGAGGGAACACAAAATTTAAAAAACAATAATAATAAAGTAAAACTATTTTTTTACATTAAATCTGGCCAAGAAACCCAGTCTTGAATGGGCTTGTAACAATGGGCTGCCTCCTTTTGGTGGTTTAGAAGATTTAACCCATTTAGATTTTTTTTTTTAAATTATACATGATAATTTTAAATATAAATATGATATGATAATAAAATATAAAAATAATACGAATAAAATATACGAAAATAATATGATTTAAAATTTTAATACAAATCATAAATAAGTTTTTTAATAAAATCAAACAAACGTATTTCATATTTCATGTTTTGAGCTGAAACGCTTATATAAATGTCGTGTGGAGAAATCAGACCCCTTATGCCCCGAAAACCAACGCCATATTTGGCAAACGATCATATCCTCCTCTCATTTGGTAAAAGAATTCAAACATGCAATAGTTGGAATATAAATTTAATATATTTTTATGAGCTGAATGCAAGATGGAGCATGTTCAGCTAATGCTACCTTCAATACGGAGTGTCCATCTGATAAGTAGATAGTAAATATGGACATCTATAGTAGATATTGAAAAGAGAATGGACACGAAATCAAAAACAATGTGCAGCAATGTAGTCTATTGAAAGCAGAAAGCAGACCGCGTATAATAGACCTTTCTCACCGGCCATTTGGCTCAGCAATCCTGGGTCTGCATCCCATTTGTTCAAGAAACTTAGTAAGACGCAAGTGCTTTGCGGTCCATTGCTCAGCTAATTTTTGCTCTTTTGCTTCAGCATCCCTCCTTAGCCCTTCGAGCTGTTCCCTGTATTCAGCTTCAATTCTATCAAGAGTAGCATTCTGCTCGTCCCTTAGAGCCTTGACCTTTGACTCTATTTCTTCCATTTTCTCCCTTCTACGGCATGCCTTCTCTGATTCCAGTTGTAACTCTACCCTTCTTAACCTCCAGGCTGCTTCCTTTTTATGTGCAACCCAAGCACGGTGCCCATCTTCCAGCTCCCTGCAGCACTCCAATAGTTCAGATGTCAGCAGGTTCTCACCACAGGGAGGAACTGATACATGGGGCACAATATTTCCCAAAACAACAGGAGTATTTTCTGACATCCTCTCAGGTTGCAGCCATGGGATTGGAGGAGTAGCTGTCACTGTCGTGGGAGATAAGCTTAAAGTCACGGAAGGGGAAGGTGGCCTGACAGCTGAGGCATTGGTGGAATTAGAAAGCCAAGGTGGAAGTAGAGTCGGTGCAGGGGAAGGTGGATCAGCATGAAGAAAGCCCCCATTAGAAGTAGCCATGGGAAAGGTAGAGCTATGCCGCTCTTTCACTAGTTTCTCCGCAAAAGTTTCTAATATCCCATCGTACTTGCCCTCCTCAATTGGGTCAACTGTCTTATTCTTCTCCTTCTGTTCCCTTTGTTGCTTCTCTTTGAACACCTCCCACCACTTGCCCAGTCTTTTAGCAGTTCTGCCAGGGACTTCAGCTGCAATTTTCTTCCATTTATTGCCGTGTTTGGCTTGAAGACAGATTACAAGACGCTGCTCCTCCTCCGTAAGAGATTCCTTCTTGATACCAGGTTTGAGGTAGTTATTCCACCTTTCTAAGCAAGATTTTGCATCCCTGTTTAGGGGTGTGTTCATGCGTTGTGACAGAAGGTTCCACTCCCGTGGTCCATATTGTTTTACGTATGCACGTAACAAAGCATCCTCTTCAGCTCTCCAACGCTGCCTCTCCTTCATTTCCAGGTGCAAACACCACTTCCCATTGCCCTAAGCTCCTCATAATGTATCTGCAAGAAGACAGGTAAGTTTAACCATCTCTTTGCTAATACACAAATAATAACAACAGGATCCAACACCAACAAGCTCAAAAATCGGGAAGAGGACTAATGACATGAGTAAGGATGAACTTTTAACAATGTCATAGCCCATAGAAGAAACAAAGAGCTGTTTCTCAACTGCACTCTCTAGTCCCCTCACTTAAACAAGTATCATAAAACCAATGGTACAAGATATGGAAATTAGATGGAAAAATACCATGTGTATAACACCGGCAATCTATTCTAACCCCAATCTTCAACAACCTGGCACATAAGTCACCACTGTATGGGCCATAAACTTCTCCGGCATGATCCACTGAGATCAAGAGCTACTCAAGAATAAATTTTCAGACAATTACAAGTGGGAATCAAGAATTCCAAATACCTCCCAAATTTTCTCAACTCAGATAACTAATAATTTAAAACCAAAGAAATGGCAACTTTTGCTCGCAATACCAAAAGCCAGGTACCAATGAAGTCTGACAGCAAATATGTATGAGGAAACCGATTGAATAACAATGTCAGCATTTCTGACTTTTTACAAAGAAAGAATAATAATAAAGGAAGGCTAAATATAACACTTAAAATTCTCTAGTTTCAACTAAGAATTGACAAAATTGCCAGTACACCAATGAAGGCATGTCTAGCCAATCATCAAAAAGAGGATGCACAATCAAGCTGTTAAATAAATGTTTAGATAAGTGATGATAACTGCTGGTACAACTTGGCATTGATTATAAAGTCATGCACAAAATTTGAGCAGCATAATACGAGCATAACGCTGCATAGAAATGACAAGGAGAAAAGGTTCAAAATGAAAAACAGAAAATGACATTAAAATATTAAAATAGGATCAAATATCAACAGAGGAATGCTTTTAAGCAATGACTGAATACAGAGCTTTCAGAACCAATTATACATCCAGTGATGACAATCAATATTGGAGTCAGCACTCAGCAAAACAACCTGCAAAAAGATGACAAGTGGTACAAAAATAGATAAAACTCATATACAAGACTCTCCATTTGATGCTAAATTTGTGTACAAAGATCCTAGCGGCCCTGACACCAGATTACAACCAAATTGTACAACAGCTGGCATATACCGCTATACAGAGAGGCTTTCATCCTTACGCATTTATAAACCAAACTATTTTTACCCTCATTCAAGCTATTAACTAAAACTAATCTACTAAAATATCTCATAAAAAATGTCTTAAGAAACTGTATAACAAACCCAATGACAGTTTCTTCAAGATGGGAAGTAAATAATCAATCCAAGAAGGAAGTTATGACTAGTACAAACCCACAAATTTCAAGATATTTATTAAAATCATTTGCAAATAATCAATCCAACAAGGGTGTTATGACTGGTACAAACCCACAAATTTCAAGATATTTATTAAAATCATCTGCCATATTTATCATACAAGATCTTCAGAAAATCACTGCTGCAGGGCAACAGTATTATTCATCAACTGATTTGGGTGAATATGAAAATTCTCCGGATAAGGCCTAGGACATTATTGAATTTTAGCAGAAAAGGTGTTAATAGATAATTCTTAATAAATAATTATCCCCTTGAAAAACCCAATTTTAAGAACAATTTGAAAAAAAAAAAAAAACACTTTCTTATTCAAAAGGAGACACTTTTAAGTAGAAAGTAGCATCTTTTCGCCATAATTTGTTCACAAAGAAATTGTTTATCAAGTTTAAGATTACCATTAAACAAGTATTGTTAAGGTTAACAATATATAACGCTTAACCAGACAAGGGATTTGTCACGGGCTGGGAGCTTCCCTCAAAATCTTCAAGTAAAAACTCCACATTGATTCACCGTTTGGCTGCCGAGAAAACTAAAAATATATATATAAAAGAAGACTAAATTTTGCGGCAAAAGCAAACAGAGATCAGATTCAATATAAAAAAATTGCAGCAAAAGGAAACAGAGCCTTCAAAACACAGAGAAATCCACAGCAAGCTCTTCGTATAACTTCACTAACCAAAAAAAAAAAAAAAGAGTGTGAAATAACTTCTACAAAACTACTTGAAAAAAATGAGAAAAACAGCTCACCAAGTTTTCATTGTTTCAAGTGTCCAAATTTAAGCTGTCTTCGTTCTTGCATCTTAATGTGTCTTAATCTCCGACAACAACAAAAAATGGAAGGGAAAACGGAAAACAATGTGAAAGTAGATTTTTTATAATCAAAACCAAAAGTCTAAACGGCCAAACGAAACACTTTCGCAAACAGAGAAAAAAAAAACCACCTAGAGAGAGAAAATCTTAGCCTGAAGGAAGAAATAGAATTAACAAGAAAAAGATATCGAGAGAGAGACAGAGAGAGTAACAAATGAAAAGGTAATTACTAAAAAAATTTACAGTGTTGTCAAACAGTGAAATTTAGAGAGAGAAAAAACAGATCTGACAGTGGGGGCGTGAAGGCGTGGCACGGGAGTGGGACTGAGAAGAGACGGAAATGAACCAAAGAAAGACCAAACCAATACATAACAAATCAAAAGAAAAAGGAAAAGAAAGTAAAACCGCAGCCAATGATCGGTATTTTAAAGGGAGGGAGGGATCAATGCTGACGTGTTTAGGGAATGTGCTTGCGTCAGCATATCCTGCAACACCCCTCCCTCTCTCTACTCCGTTCACCCTGCCCTACGTTTCCTATAGACAGACAGAAATTTTTAAATTTTTAAAGTATACCGAGAGAAAGAAATGGCATACGCTCGATTTCAGCGCTTAAAATGCGCCTGCCTGCCTCCGTTCTTTTCGGGGCATTCTGTTTAGATTTCCGTTTTTCTTTTTTACTTTCTTAATAATTATTTCAGTTATAGGACCACGAGTTAGTGACGGAAGGGAAATAACAGCTAAATCAGGGCCGTTGATTGATTTGTCAAGAAACTCCGGTCTCCACGTGATCCTGTGACAGGAAAATTTTTTTATATACTATGTCGTTATAAGAATAGAAAATTCCAGCGTATATATTTGGTTTTTATAATTTTCCCCCACTTCATTTTTTTTGTTTTTTTCCCCATTTCATGCAAAAATTTATACTGACATTATCTCGACCGAGAAAGGCTAAGGTGTGGCCATGAACGTAACAGAAAAGCAGCACAGCCCTTGATTAATAATGAGTTGTTGAAGGGATGGGTGAGGGTGCAGGGTAAGGAGTGAGGGGGAGAGTAGAGGAAAGAAAGGATCTTTGGGGTGGCGGGGGGCTATGATTAGGAGGGGGAATATCGAGGGGGAAGGGGATGCCACATACCCAGAAAGGGTGGAGGAGGGGACTGTACTCCGCGTTTTGCGGCGAAAGGAGACGAGTCTGATGTAGACTCGACCTTCTGCCCCGCTCAGAAGTGCCTCTCAGATGTCAGTGATGAGTTACGTCCCCTTTTTCTTTTCATTTATCTCCGTATTTCCATATTTTATTTCTTTTCTTTTCTCTCTATTTCTATATTTTAATTTATTTTTATTAATTCTAAAATTAATAATTCAAATGTTTATATCCAAGTTTCAAAGTATTTAATCTTATTTTTATTAGTTCTGGAATTAATAATCAAAGGGATGTCCCCTTGATTTTTTTATTTTTAATTCAATTAATTAACAAGTTTTTCCATCGGGTTTCAAGGTATGGTTACAACTTTACTGTACAAGGGAAATTGCTGGCCTAAAACCGGAAAGAAAAGCAGAAGGGCTGAGGTGAAGGAGGGGCATCCTGACAAAGCTGACTTGACATGTCAAAACATATTGTAAATTTGAGGGAGATCCTCCCCCAATCTTCAGCCTGTGTCCCACCCCCTGCCCACCTCTGAAAAGCCAAAAGCCTTTTGTGGTGGGGAATGAAGGGGAATTCAGACACTACATTTCAACTTTCCCTTGCTCTTCTTCCACCTTAACTTGTCACCGTTTGATTAAAGCTTAACCCATTGATCAAAACCAATCTGATATGGTCCTGATCGACCATTACAGTGGTAGAACAGTTAAGTACAGTAATAAAATGTTAGTACTGTCATTTTTTTAAATGAAAACTGAAAAAAACAGTACAAAGAAAGGCTGCAGAATTTTTATGGGGATCGGCGAGAGTGGAGGTTGGGAGGGTGTGAGCTCAGTGGTCTGACCTGACCTCGTCGAAGCCATCTTTACCCAACCTGGTTCATTGAAACGGTAACATCCCCAGACCTCAATGTACACAAATGTGTTTTTCAACTTACCCTTTTCTTTTTGTGTAGTCCACATTCCACTCAATAAAATTTACCTTCAAATCTGGACCAGAACAGGAGAAAAGTCCATAACATTACTGGTCTTCATATTTGGGCAAAAAGGATGTTAAGCCCAATGTTTTGTCCAGCTAACTCAGAATAAAATAGTGTTGGATCTGACCTGTGGTAGGCCGTAACCAGCCTAAAAGTTTGGTCCGAGATTTGTCTATTGAAAGATCCAGAAAGAACAAAGAATTGGGCCTGAGACAGGTGGGTCAGGCAACAAAACCCACCATTAATAACCAATTATTTTTCATCTTGGTGTAAAATGTGAAGGCATAGATTAACACAGCCAGATTTTCCAGGACTTCGTCCGTAAGCAGGTATTAAAATCTGAATTCTGTAAAACAATTTTGAGATGATCTTTGAAAAAAATGTTAAATCAACTTTCTGAGTAGGAGAGAGTTCATCGAGTGTGAGCAACGATGGAAGCAGTTTGATTTGGCTAACCTTGCACTTGAATGCTTAGCTATAGGACCCAAACATGGATGAGGTGGTAATAGAACTTGAACAGCTTCAGGAGCTAGGTGACATCCCAAAAAGCAGTCAAAAGGAACATCATGTAAATACTCGGTCATTCCAATAGTCCACCTACTTATCCCATTGCCTAGTCCGTCTCTTAAACTTAACAAATCAGAGAATGGTAAAATGCTTGACTATAGATTGACCAAAATCCAACAGTGAAAGAAATCCCAGAGTGCATGCAAGAAATAAACTCTCAAAACATGCAATCACATAGCAAACCAACAATTTTTAACATAAATCCAACGATGAGTACAAAGTTCCTTAAAGGAGTTGGAAAAGGTTGACTTGACTAATCTTTGAGAATCAAAGAGGAAAATCCTAATCAATGGCATCCAATGCTCACATAAGTACAACTAAAAGGTTAGATTATTAAACTAATCCTATCTCTAAAATCTTAATTTTCTTTAAATTTTTTGAAGTGTTTTTGGCTTATGGATTAAAGGAAAATGTAAAAAAATATCAACATGAAAGTGGTTACTATTAGTAGTAATACCGTAATATGGTATTGTTCCCATGGTGGTTTCTTTGGTAAAGAGACAAAAAAAAAAAAAGGCAAAAAGGCGAGTCAACTGTCAACCAAATTTGGTTGGCAGAGGTCCAAAAAGACCTTCTTATAAAGAAAGAAAGGAAGAAAGCAAACCCAATTGCAAAGAAGCCTTTTTTTTACCTTACTTTCTGGTTTTACTGACCCTTTCTCATCATCATCCAGGGCCAAACCCACCTTCCATAAAGTAAAAAAAGGGTGCACAAAAGAGATCATATCCAAAATCTTTGTGCCCAATTACCACCAACTGCGCTGCTTTGATCTTTCCGAAGAGGCAAGTTGAGTATTTTTTTTCTCTTTCAGGGTTGTCTTCTTTGTGAGAAGTTTGGCCCTGTGAGAGAAAAAAAGAAAAGGGAAAAGATTAAAAGAAAGATCTTGGTTTTATTCTGTTTTGATGGGACCTTGCTGGAGCAATGGCATCAAGTCTGTGAGTCCTTCTAGCACAGGTGAGTTGAATGTTGTTTGGTTCTTGATGTGCTTAAAGCTTCGATTTTTTTTTTTGTTTTGTTGATTACAAAAGCACTTGCATGCCTTGTTTTCTATTTTGAAATCAATGAAAAAGACTCGATTTCTATTGTGTTTTGAGTGTCATTTCGTTTTCTAATAAAAAAGTGATGATTGCAATCTCAAATTGTTATATAGATCCTGTCTGGAGCTTTAAAAGTGTTTGTTTGTCTCGAGACAAATTTTATATCATTTTATAAAGTTTGTGAAGTTAACTATTGTATGCAGGAGTTAATTCGAGGAGTGCAAGCAGAAATGGAAACGATTTGAGTGGTTCAAGCAGCAAAGTATCTTCAGCTTCTGTACCGCAAACTCTCCGGAGTGAGGGTGAGATTTTGCAGTCTTCAAATTTAAAGACTTTCACCTTCAGTGATCTCAGGACAGCCACCAGAAACTTCCGGCCAGGTAGTGTGCTAGGAGAAGGTGGATTTGGTTCTGTCTTCAAAGGATGGATTGATGAGCATTCACTTACAGCTACCAAGCCTGGTACTGGCATCGTAATTGCTGTTAAGAGGCTCAACCAAGAAGGACTCCAGGGTCACAAGGAATGGCTGGTTAGTTTTTTTTTTTTTTTAATTGCACAAGTTAGTTTTACTTCAGTTTCACTTTGTTTGGTGGGGGGTGGGGGGGGGGGGGGGGGAAGGATTGGCAGATTTCACATCAGTTGCTACCCGCTTTTAGGTTATGGTGGCTAACTCCTTGAGTACTAACAGAAGTTGGTATTACCTGGATGCAATTGCAAGTTGGTTAGTGTTATTAATTTGACTTGCCATCATATTCTATTAGCACAAGAAACCAGTCCAGATGGCCTATGTCCTCGCAATTGTAATAATTTTAAATTTGGTGAAATAATGCTGTGACAAATTCATTTTGGTAAAGGCTATGTTATTCAGGACTTTCACTTTCGAGAGGATAATTTGATTTTCTTTTATATTTTGGTATACAGGCTGAAATCAACTATCTTGGACAATTGCATCACCCTAATCTTGTAAAGTTGATTGGTTACTGCTTAGAAGATGAGCACCGGATTCTGGTATATGAGTTCATGGCTCGGGGTAGTGTGGAGAGTCATTTATTCAGGAGTGAGTTCCTTATATTGATGAAACATTCATGCTATGAAGTGAAGCATATGTCTCCATCCACTGTGCCTAATTAATTTTGAAACAGGGGGGTCGCACTTCCCACCACTTTCTTGGGGCGTCCGAATGAAGGTTGCACTCGGTGCTGCCAAAGGACTTGCCTTTCTCCACAATGCCAAGCCCCAAGTCATATATCGCGACTTTAAAACTTCTAATATCTTGCTTGATTCGGTAGGTAACTTAGTTAATGCTTCCCTTTACATTTCTGTGGCATGGTGGAAATATTGAAATTTTTATCTGTTCTACTTATGTGCTATATTCTGCTGTTTCATTTGATATTTGCAGAATTACGACTCAAAACTCTCTGATTTTGGGTTAGCTAGGGATGGGCCAACTGGTGACCGGAGCCATGTTTCCACTAGGGTCATGGGAACCTATGGATATGCTGCTCCAGAGTATCTAGCCACAGGTATTGCTTCCAACTCTGTTTTCTTTTGTATATACTTAGTCTATGTCATTTTACTTTCCACTTGCATCTTCTATATACTACTTTTCTCTAGATGCTCTTTAATTGTATTGAATTTATGTACTACCCTTTTTTCATTTACATTTTTTCTCTTTTTTGTTCATGTTTTCTTTTAATGAATTTCTACTCTTCACTTAACATGTTTGTCAGAAAAATAAACTACTATTTTACCTCTTTGATAGTGCATGGAGAATGTTTCCTAGTCCTTTTGACTCAATTATGCAGTTGTTTGCTTTACCTTCTGTTTGAAAATTGTGGTTTCTACTGAGATAAAAAAACAAATGGAAAGAAATACTAAAAAAACCAACAAACTTTTATCAAGTTCTCTCATGAAACGAAGCCTTTTTCTGTTTTACAATCAAAATAAGAAAAGTCATGTTCGATTTGTATGTAGATCTTAGAAATTTTCTTAATATTTTTATCATATCTGTTGTTTTCGGCTGTTATATATCTATTGGGTTCTCATTGCATTTAGCTATTTGTTATTGGATCATATGAAATGAAGTTGATATAATCTGAGTATTGATATCCACGTAATTTTCTATTGGAAAGGTCATTTGACTGCCAAGAGTGACATATACAGCTTTGGAGTTGTTCTTCTAGAAATGTTATCTGGCCGACAAGCTATAGACAAGAACAGGCCATCTGGAGAACACAATCTAGTGGAGTGGGCAAAACCTTGCCTGACCAATAAACGCAGAATATTCCGTGTACTAGATACCCATCTCCAAGGCCAGTATTCATTGAATCAGGCCCAAAAGGCGGCTGACCTTGCACTTCGGTGCTTAGCAGTAGAACCCAAGTTCAGACCAAGCATGGATGAGGTGGTAACAGCGCTTGAGCAGCTTCAGGAGCCAGGTGACATGCCAAAAAGCATTCAGAAGGAACATCATGTGAATGGTCAGAGCCATTCAAATGGTAAACCGACCACTTATCCAAAGCCTTCTGCTTCACCACTTCATGTTAGATGAAAACCTTTTGATGCAGCAGCAATTTCTTTCCTGATTTGAACATCCATAGGATCTGTTTCTGGGATTTAGGCAGGGAACAAAACCATGGTTGAATAGTGTACAGTTCTTTCGTGTAAACTATTTAAATCTACATCCAAATTTGATCAAGCTCAGATATGAGAGCATGCATGAACATGATCTCGGTTTTGCTAAATATCATACCATCATGATAGAAAAAGCAAAAGAATTTACGTTCAAGTTTGTATGAAAATGCTATTGAGTTTATTTCCGGCTTTCTTTGGGGGTTTTTTTTTTTTTTTTTCCTTTCTTCCTTGGTATAGGGGCTTGTATGCCAATGTAATTAAGCTCATTTGAGACACAATGTAAGAATCTTCATTTTGTTGTAGTCCATATGATGTTTTGATATGTATCTCTTTTCTCAATTATTTCAAGTTCTGTTATCCTTCACGCTAAGATCACATTTTCTTTCCTTTCCGAACTTTTAATGGAATCTACCGACAGATTGGTAAGCTACCTGTATATATTGATTTGTTTTACTTGAACAAGAGACAGATATAGGTCGTCAGGAGAGAGCTTTTGGCCTTTATTTGAGGTTTCCAACTTCCAAGAAGACTTCGCTTTTACACTTTTTCCCCCTAAAGCAAATGGTTTCATGTTCTCAATGCATATTGCCATTTTCAACTTGTCAATAAAAAAAGGATTGGCAAATGGAAGTCATCTCCATGGCATCGTCCTGTTCAATATGAGGGCAGTTGGTAACCCATTTTCCTGCATTTTATTGGGTAATCCCGACGACTATAAAACCCAAAAGAACTCAATGAAATGGCCATCCTTTGCTTCATTGCTCCTACGGTTGAAATTTTCTCTAGACAGCTAGACATACGGTAAACAGGCAAAATTGTGTAAGAAGAACATCTACCTCTTCTCTTTCAATCATTTTTTACATGTATCCTAGGATTTTTTTAAAAAATTCTAAGACCCAGTCAATCTTTTGTCCGTCAAATATCAGGAACATGGACAACCAATGTCATAAACAAGCTAGCAATGCGTGAAAAAAAGGGTTAAAAAAGTAAGAAAAAAAATGAGTCCAAATATCCTTGGCTTGCTTTTTGCTGCATGCATTAGATATTTTAATCTCTCATGAAAGTTTGGTTTTATAAGACACATAATCACAAGAGCCGTCTTAGCTCAGCCGGTAGAGCGCGTGGCTTTTAACCACGTGGTCGTGGGTTCGATTCCCACAGACGGCGTTCGATTATTACTGAGCTTTAGTTTTTCTCTTTGTTCAACCTAACGCCCACGATAAACCCAAATCAGGCCCATTTTTGCCCAAGGCTTTGATTAATTTATTTTGATGAAAATCCAATCCTTTCAAATTGCTATTCAATCAAAATAGTATTATATTCTATGGCAGCAATTCCCTAAAGCAAAATTGTAAACTTGCAACACTCATGGAACCTTTAGTAAATGCCAATTTCCCATTGGCAGAAATATCCATGCAAAATATTGATAGCCATCGACCCCATAGGATTCCTCATATGATAAATGATAGTTTTTGGTTCATATTCCATTTCCATTATTGCCAGTCTGTCTCTACATGCTTCCCCGTATATATAAATTATCAAATAAATTGATAGTAATTTTTTTTTATTTTATAAATAGAGTTAAATTAGTGACGCATATCTTTTAATATTTATTTTAAAAAATTTTAAAAAATCAAAACATATATCATTATCTTAATGTAGTTTATAAGATTAAAAAATTCAGCCATCAAATATTAAATAATATATATAGATTATAGAATAGGGTTTTCCCAATATTTTCAAGATCAGAATCTTAAGATGGGATAGCTCCACCGGCCTATTGTTTACCTAAAAAGACATTCAACTTGATATTTTGTTTGAAAAAAATAAAATTATTTTGTTTTTATTTTAATAAATTGAATATGAAACTTTTACAGCAAAAGTTATTATCTTTAAAAAAAAAAAAAAAAAGAAACACCATTTGTCTGTGAAAATTAATGCCATTAAGAAAAGCATCTTTACAGTCACTGGAATGCAAAATAACGGCATAGAGTGGTCAAAATATTCGGATGGTAGTGCAATTTAGACATGGCCAAAGGACCCTTTGGCTGGTTTTAGGACCTTGCTTCAATATCTCATTGTCAACCAAGAAAGCAAAGCATATTGATAAAAGTATTTCTGTTTGGTTATAAATTAGCTACATTATTAATGGCAGTAGATTCACAGTAAAAAAGGAAATAATACCTCAAATGGACATTTTTTCTAGATCTGGAATCTGATGTCCATCAGAAATGCCTCACATTGTTCATCGTTGATCACACTTGCCATAGAACAAGACAAGAAACAAATGCTCTTTAATGTATTATAGAGGTAGGAGAAGCTGAAAGCAGTTGTAGCATATCAACTCTCCTAACAACTTGTGAGCAAGTTGAGAACCTGAAAGGCATAGTTGAAAAGATTTTTGGGTCATTTGAAATGATTAAGTTTATTGTACCTAAGATGATATTTGGATCATTCATTTTCTATCTTCTTTTTGGTTAATTCAAACTTTGGACTCTATAAAAATCATAAAATCTTTAAAAGAATTGAAACTCTATAATGATTGTTACGATATATGTAGATTTGATATATAAAACACAATATGATGATATGATATGATACGAAAATAAAATAAAAAAATGACACAACTTAAAATTATAACAATAACTATATATAAATATAACAAAATAAAAAAAAATTATATTTTATATTTTCATATCGACATAAATTATAAAACTTATTTTTTATATAAAATATTATATAAATATATAAATTTTAATATTTTAAATAACATATATACACAAATCGTCATATCTAAATCTATGTTAATTTGTAAGATATTATCTTTAATTCATTGAATTTTACAATTTTATTTCATAAAATATTTTTTATAATAATATAAATATTTATATATTAAAGTCAATTTTAACATACAAGCGACGTGTGATTCATAACTCTCTCTAAGATTACGGCCCTATGCTACGCTGGGTAAAAAAGCATGGAATATGAGTAGACGAAAGGGAAAGCCAAGGGCAGCAAACAAGGTGGAAGTCAAAGGGGGGTGGAGCCATGCAGGGAAGGCGAAAGCACAAAAAGAAAGATAAATAGACAGCAGCACCTGAGTGCCGGTCTAGCACCACAGGGTCTTGTTCTCCATTCACCGAATGGTTTGTGAAAGTCCTACTTTGCACTTCGCCTTTACGGGTGGCTTGCTTCAGTTAAATTTCTCAATTCCTCCAATCTTGGTGATGAAGCATCCAATACATCTTCAAATACATTTCTCTGCTTTATTTATTTCTTTTTTAAATGTATTTATAAAGTTAACACTTAAGAGTCCTGCATTCATTACAACATTATTAATGGGCGGCCACAAACCAATACCTCATATTAATGGCCGTCACAACTACTGCATTACAATAAAGAGAGAGCTCAATGGAACAAGCGAAGCAACATATTTATTATAGTAGTAAAAATGGAAATTACTATATGAGCAAGAGCTGCGGGCTACACGCTTTGTTTGATTTGCAGCCGCTTCAGCCCTTGTTACAACCTTTTACCATTCGCTGGAATTTTTTTTTAGTATTACCTCCAGCTCAATGACAATCAAAAGAAAAGAAACACTGACCCAAACATTAGGTCAAAAAAAGTTACCACACAGTTCACTTTAGTTACTTTTCGAACTATCATAATTCTTTTTTCACTTTCTTTTCGATAAATCCTACCCATAATCCTTTTTACCCACCAACCCACCACTTCAAACTTTCCCGGGAAAATAAAGGAAAATAGAAGGGCGGGAAACAAAGATTAAAAGAAAGTTATTTAAAGAAGCGATGATAAAAATTTAAAGGGAAAGGGGGGTGGACTGTGAATGAGTGGGCATTTAAACGCGAAAATTCTTTCCCGTGAAGGTTTGGCCGAACTGCCAATTAGCTGGTGCCACGTTCCAGGAGGTGGAGGTTCGCTTATCACTGCCCGTGACTCTAAACGAGAGTGCCTGGCCAACCAAAACGGCGTTCGACTGCCAGTTTTGTCCCCAGTTACGGCTCATGCTCAACCAACCAGTTTGGGTTCCCTTCACGCTCACCTTCACGATATCCCCTGCACCCGCGACGTTGGTGACCAAAACCAAGTTGAAGTAACGGAATCCGTTGATAGTGAATCTGATTCCCCCTTGCTTTCGGCACGGCGCTCTGCAAAATAATAATAATAATAATAATAATAATAATAATAAACAGTTAATTAATCTCGGTATTTAAAAAAAGATAAAAAGAGAAGGTCAGTTATGGAAATTAAAAATTTAAGCACCGAACCAACTCTCACGATGTCGCGAAATTTGTCGTTCAGGTTCTCTGATTTTGCGGCAAATCTTAGTGAAACTTAAAATTACAGTAATACCTGGCAACTTTTTTACTATAATGCCCATTGGGAATTAATAGAGCAAGCTTTAACGATAAAGGGTGTTTGGTCATATCTAGGTTCACGAAAGACCGTTGGTTAAAATTGCGTAAGCGATATTAAAATATGGATTGATTATCAAAATCTTAACGGACACGGAGCTAACGAGCTCAGAAAAGGCCGATTCTTTTGGGGCCCTTGTTTTTGTTTTCCCAAGAAAGTGATGGAAAAAAAACAAATTTTAATAATTACAAAATATTAAAAAAAGAAACTGCTTGGTACCTAAGAAAACAGGGACAGGAAAATTCAGCAGAATTTATAATTTTTCCTTTTCACCCACAATTTTTCTGTACGTAACCAAATAAACCAACTTAAGAAATTCAAGAATAACAAAAAAGGCATAAAACTCTGAAGCAAAAGGGATTGTGCTGACTCACCTACGGAAGGAGACTGGGATGATACCAGCACGGTACTCAGCGATCTTGAGGAACATAGGCATGGCAAGGTCAAAGTGAGGGCGTGGAGGGTTGCACCAACCGCCATTGTCACTTGGGAGAGCATAGTTAGGAGGGCAAAAGTTAGTAGCAGTGACAAAAATGGAAGGGTTGCCAGGGTGACACCATCTTGGGTCATTGTCACACTTGATCTCAAAGCAAGCACCGCAGCTAAGGCCATTGTTGAAAAGCGCTGTGCTTAAAGCTGCTGTGTTCACGCCATAGCCTTGGCTGTAGAGATTCCCATACCCACATGCACCGCCTAAACAAAAAGAATGTAGAGCAAAAAGATTATATATTCGAGATTTTGTTAGTGAATGCATGCTAAAAAGAAAGTGCGTTCGTTCATATGATTTTGCAGCCTAAAACAGAACAAGACCTCACTGCAACAAAACTGTAGTGATTGTAGAAAATTATGGCCAAAGTTAAAGATTAGAATATTAGGAGCAAATACCCATTGTTCCAGAAGCATCACTGCCACCGTAAAAAGTAGCATGGGCAGTTTCCCAAGGGCCACCAGAGTAAACTCCAGGGATTCTAGCATTCACCACAACAAAATATGACAAGAATGAAGCAAAGCACAGCACACTCAAGGAAGAAGTAGCAGCAACCATTTTTTTTTCAAAGAGAAAGAAGTGTTGGTGTGTTGATTTTGGGGTGAATGGAAAGCGTGAAGAAGGTGGGGTACTTATTGACGAGCTTAAAGGGGGGGGGGCGGAGGGTTAAAGAGAGTTGAAAAGGAAATCAGAAATTTGGAGGGGCCCCAAAAAAATTACTACATGAAATTAATGCAATTTGCTGGTCCATTTTTGATAGATCCATCTTGTGCAATTAATTGAAACCTCACAAATTTTTTTCTTTTTTTTTTTTTTTAAGTTATATTCGGCTTTGGGGTTTTTTTTTTTTTTTTTTTAATGTAAGATTTAGATTCCAAATTTGGAATACCATGTGCTTCACACGTGGGCTGTTCATGTTAATTTTGTACAGTCAAAGAGAAGGTCACATGCATCTTTGAACTAAGTTACTAGTAGTGAGGATTATTGTGAATTTCTGGGGCTTAGAAATCTTTAAACCAATGTTTGATTATCGAAACTTTTGGGTTTTGATTTTACATTATACCTTTTCCTTTGATGTACCTTTTGAGCATCTTTGATTTGGATATTTATTCTTTTTTTTTTTAAGGAATTTATATCCACTATTGAATTCAGCACTTTTCATGACTTATTTTTCTTTTAAAGGACTTTTTTTTCATCGACTTTATTTTGAAAATGGATAAAGGTAAATGTACGAAAAGAATCGGTTACTAATTGAGATGTCACAATAATTTTTATTTAAATTGAGTAGCTATCATTTTATATAAATAAATCAACTATAGAATTTATTTTTGTTGAATCACGTTTTTCCCATCTTTTTTTTTGGCAAATTTTTTAAATGTTGTACATGATAAAATTGGTTTTAAACTTGTCAATGAATTAAAGAAAGAGTTTCACATTTTTTTTCCTTTAAAAGGAACTTGACAATGAGTTTAATGAATAATATTCCCCTTTATCCCATGGTCTATCTCTCAAATCATTTTGTACTATATCTTAAATGCAAAGCAATAATAATATTATTATTATTTTATACATCATAAATATAAGTTTGTTATTTGTTGATAGAGTATTATATTTTTAATTTTAATAATTAAAATTATATTTTTATAATCATTGATATTTAAAAAATATCATTAAGTTTCTTATTTATTATATAATTTTTATTTTTACACATATATGATAAAATTTAAAAACGTCACTAATTGTGTTATTCCACGCAAAATAAACGGTGATCCAAAAATAATTTTGTCTTTATTCTCTACCACTCCTTTTAGCATAAAATGAAACCAATAAAAAACAAAAATGTAGGAAAGTTAAAAGCAAAAGCCTGCTAAGGACAAAGTGATTACCTTAATGAGGAGTGTGAGCGAGAAAGCTAACCAAACCCAAAACTGAACGAGCAGACCAAAAAAAAGGGGACAATAAAAATGAGTGGTGGACCGAACCGAAGGGAAGGAAAACCGCGTAAACTGTTGGGGAGTGGGGACCAAAACTCGTCTTTATGCAATCGAGCCTAGAGAGGCCGATGCATGGCTACTGGGCTTTAACCGCAACCGGGTCCCATTGACAGCCCTTCCCTTAGTCCTCTCCTGCGACTCAACTGCATTTTCTGTCCTTTGCTAGTGGCAGCAAGTAACAACCACTGCCGCATACGGTAGCTCCTTTCTTTTTTTATTTATTTATTGGACACAAAAACTAATAAATGCCCAAATATTGCGCTTTTTATGCTACTTCAATGGTAACTTTTATAATTTGATTAAAGGTTTTTTTTTTTTGCAAATATATAAAAAAGTAGATGTAAGTATTAAAATTTAAATTAAACACTGAATTAAAATAAACTTTTTTATTACATAATAATTCACATTTATTTTTACGATAGCATTATATCATCCAAGCAAGCTCCATAAATCCTCAATTGCATCTGCTCATTTTCATAATAACCATTTATTTATGGAATTTAATTCAAAAACAAAGTAGCCACCTTAATATTAAAAAATTTAAAGTGATTTAGGCACATGTTTTCCAAATTTTCATTGCAAAATATTTAAGTGGTTGAACTCAAATTTCAATTTATGGTTATTCCTATATTTATTTGAGAATAGGTACCAGTCCTAAATATTTGTAAGATTGAAGAGCATCAATTTTTCTAATATAAATAATTGGGTAAATCTACTTCAAGCACAAAACATTTAATGGACCACCCATTACCATATAGTGACCTAAATGAAAATGCAACAATTTTTACATATTTTTGTGCAAATTAAGTAAATAAATGGAATAGGAGATTATTTTAATTTACGTTTTCTTTGGTTTGTTATAAGTCATAGGAGACAGTAAAATCGTGATTTAATTATGTACGTGTCAATGAATCTGTCCAACATTTTTGTGAACCATAAGGTTAAAAAGTACTGTCCATGCAGGGGACATTTGCTAAAGCACATTGATTGAATAACGAAACAAGTGCACCGTATCTTTCTTTACAATTTATTTTTTGTTTCTTATTTACCAAAAAATATTTTATTTTTTTATTTTTATAATATGATTAAAAGTATTTATAAATTTGGCTGAATCATTTTTTAACATAATTTGATACATTTAATATTTTATGCTTTTATTTTGTATATATATATATTTGTATAATTCTATTATTTTTTTGATAACTCTAAAATAATTTTATGACTAATTTGAATTAAAATAATATTTTTAATTTTAATAATTTTGGTAAAAAATTAAAAATAATAAAATTTACACTAAATAAATAAATGATCAAATTCTTACTCTTAAAAAACTAAAAATAAATATAAAAATATCTAAAAGAGTAATTGAATACATTTTCACATTCTTTAAAGTAAAAAACCAAAAAAAAAATTTCACGTCAGGAATTAATGCCATATATTATTGATCATTTAATTTGAATCCACTCAAACAATTAACTTTCGTAAAAAAAAAAAAAAATGAACCCATGTTCTACACCTGGAAAACGCAGAATTGAAGGGACACATCTGATGGTATGTTCACAGCAATATTTTTGAACTGACAAACGGTGTCACATCAAAAGACAAATATAATAAAAAGTTGTGTGCCCTTTCCCCTACTCTAACAGCTGTAAGTCAATTGGCCAAAACAACAAAAACAGCTGTAACTCAAAAGCCCGAGATCATTGAAGAAAAACTCGAAAAAAAAAAAAAAAAAAGGGAGAAAGCCCAAATCCAATTTCCAACCCTATCACATGTGAATCGAATTTTGTTTTGGTTGTTTCTTTTCATTTCCAAACTCTTCCCCCCTTCCTAAACCAATGAGGCTAGCCCACCCACCGCCATGTGACTTCACTTTTGCTCTATACATACATACATATATATATATATATATAAAATATAAATTGTTTAAAAAATTAAGAATAAAATTTTTTTACTTCATAAACAAATTTAATATTATATTACCCGTTTTATTTTTTTTAAATTAAAATTTTAAATATATAAGAAACAGTGCATCATTTTAATTTTATTTGTAAAATTAAAAAATTTTAAATATTTAATAATTTATATAATATTATTTCTTCTCAATTTTAATATATTGCCCTCATTTTCGTATTTATTTTATTTGCATTATCATATATATTTTCTTACTTTTAATAGTAAGATAAAAAATCTATCCCTTGTCTTGCGTTTCTCTCAATGTTTTAAAAAATGGGAATGAAAGTTTAATCTATATGATTATTAATTTTTTATTCAATCAATGATCCAATTAAAATTGTATTAAATAAGTATATGTTTAACATAAATTTGGATTTGACGTAATGATTTAATAATTGATGAACAATTAAGAGGTTAAAAATTCAAATCTCATGATTATAAAATTTTAAAATATTAAAGAATACAAAATTCAAAATCAATTGAAGGTCGAACCTCTAACCAAATGAAAATTTCAAAAGGGATTTCATAATTGTGTGTTTTATTGATCTTAAAAATTTCAAGCTAAAAACGTAATCCAAAATAAAATTGACACGAAATAAATTGCTATTAAATCAAAAACTTTTAAGATAATACAATTAATTACATCAATTTATTCCAAATTAATCATCATCACCATGTTTTTTTGTCGGTCACAATGAATGCTACCAATAAAAAAAAAAAGTCCAACTAATTATTTAGCATATTGGCCTGCCTATCATTTCCATGAACTCTTATCATGACTAAAATGTATCATATTTTTTAAAATATTAATTAAAATTAAAAGTAAAGTGTTGTCTAAGGCACAGGTGAGGGTGAGGGGACCAAAAAAAGAATATTGAAAATTCAAGTGAGAGATTATAAATTAATTATAAGATCTAAATTATAATTTAAGATGAGGAATATATTATTCATTAATTTTGACTGTTTTATAAGCCAAGGAATGGACTATGATGAATGAAATTAAATGCTACTAAACTACACCATTTTTTGTTCCATACCACTTGATGGTATACATTTTTTTAGTTAAATTATGTTACCTAAAATGAATATTAAATTGCTTAATATTACATGTTGACTTTGGGATTCTAGATTGATTATTTTAGAGTTGTCTTACTTAAGTTTATTTAATTAGACTTTCTGATTAATTAATTTGTATTATTTTGTTGGCAAAATATACTTCAATTTAATTCATTTATGAACATAAATACTACATGATACCCATCTCTTGCTCATACCTGTCAATAAATATTATATACATAAGAAATCAATAATAAGGAAAGTAAGATAGGTGGTAAGATTAATTACGGTGAGATTAAAAATAATAATAAAAATTATTATAATTATGATTAAAAAAATTTATTGTAATTGTGATTAAAAAAATTTAATAAAAATTTTATGTTAAATAGATTTCATTAAAATTAACATTTTAAATTTCATTAATGGTATAATAAATTCAATTGTACCGTATCAATATACGGTTAAATCTAAAACGGACGTTAAATTCATTTTTTTTACTATTTAATTGGTTAAAGATTTTAATTGATGTGCGGATGAAATTAAAAGTATGATTAAAATTTTCAACTGTTTGATCTAGTGGTCAAGATAAATTTAAAAAAAACATCATAATTGAGATTCGAACCCAACCTTCTTCCCTCCGCTTAACCTAGAGTTCTGCCCCAATTAAATGACAGTAAAAA